CTTTTCACCTAGCACTTATAAATATTTTCTTCTTGCTAGTTCTCAGACTTTTTAAGAAATAACTTTGTGACAGTATAATTTACATAAAATTTAAATTTATTTTAAATGTTCAGTTGATAAATTTTGATGAATGCCTATACCTAACCACCCCTATAATTAAAATTCCCAAGGCACCTGGGTGGCTCAGTCATTTAAGCATCTGCCTTTAGCTTAGGTCATGATCTCAGGGTCCTGGGATCGAGCCCCGCTTTGGCCTCTCAGTGGGGAATCTCCTTCTTCCTCTGCTTTTGTACCCTGCTTGTGCTCTCTCTCTCTCTTTCAAATAAATAAAAGCTTTAAAAAAAAAATTCTCTTCTCCTAGAGTTCCGTGGTAACCCTTGCAAGTTATTTTCTTCCCCATCCTCCACCAGGCAAGCAGTGATCTACTGTCTATCACTGTTCTAATTTTCCTTTTTTACTTTCTCTTCCACCCATGATTTTAGAAATTTAGAAATGTAATGTTTAATTCCCCCAATTTGTGAAATTTTCAGGTATCTTTCTATTACCAGTTTCTAATTTAATTCCATTATGGTTAGAGAGTATACTTTATATAATTTCACTTCTTTCAGCTTTGCCTAGTTTTCGTTTGTGGCCTAGAATGGAGGTCAGCAAAACATCATCTAAAGAGCCAGATAGAAAATATTTCAGGCTTTGTACTTAAAGCCTGCTCCTAGACTCAACTGCTCAACTCTGCTGTTGTAGCATAAAATACATAATATATGAATGGGAATGTTGAAATCTCTAACTATATTAAGGTTTTGTCTATCTCTCCTTTCATTTCTGCCAGTTTTTGCTTTGTGTATTTTGGAGCTCTCTTGTTAGGTACACACACTCTTAGGGTTGTTATGCCTTCTTGGTGTACTGCTTTATTATTATGTAACATCACTCTGTTTTCCTAGTAATACTCTTTGTTCTGAAATCTTTTTCTGATATACTTCTCTAGTTTACTTTTCTCAGGATTCACACTCCCATACTGCCTGATGTCTAATATCTGATAAAAAAGCTATTTAAAAGATTTTGTCCAGTTTTCCAATTTTCTGAAGAGGATAAGTAAGTCTAGTCCCTATTATTCTACCATGGCTACAGGGAGAAGTCCATAGCTGTCTTTTTTTTTTTCCCTAGCATAGTTATATTTATTTTTTTTTAATTTTTAAATTTTTTATTGGAGTTCAATTTTCCAACATATAGCATAACACTCAGTGCTCATCCCACCAAGTGCCCCCCTCAGTGCCCATCACCCAGTCATCCCCACCCCCCAACCACCTCCCTTCTCACCTCCTCTTGTTTGTTTCCCAGAGTTAGGAATCTCTCATGTTCTGTCTCCCTTTCTGATATTTCCCACTCATTTTTTCTCCTTTCCTCTTTATTCCCTTTCACTATTTTTTATATTCCCCAAATGAATGAGACCATATAATGTTTCTCCTTCTCTGATTGACTTATTTCACTCAGCATAATACCCTCCAATTCCATCCACGTTGAAGCATATGGTGGGTATTTGTCGTTTTTAATGGCTGAGTAATATTCCATTGTATACATAAACCACATCTTCTTTATCCATTCATCTTTCGATGGACACCGAGGCTCCTTCCACAGTTTGGCTATTGTGGACATTGCTGCTATAAACATCGGGGTGCAGGTGTCCTGGTGTTTCACTGCATCTGTATCTTTGGGGTAAATCCCCAGCAGTGCAATTGCTGGGTCGTAGGGCAGGTCTATTTTTAACTCTTTGAGGAACCTCCACACAGTTTTCCAGAGTGGCTGCACCAGTTCACATTCCCACCAACAGTGCAAGAGGGTTCCCCTTTCTCCACATCCTCTCCAACATTTGTGGTTTCCTGCCTTGTTAATTTTCCCCATTCTCACTGGTGTGAGGTGGTATCTCATTGGTTTTTTTTTTTAATTTTTATTTATTTATGATAGTCACACACACACACAGAGAGAGAGAGAGGCAGAGACACAGGCAGAGGGAGAAGCAGGCTCCATGCACCGGGAGCCTGACGTGGGATTCAATCCCGGGTCTCCAGGATCGCGCCCTGGGCCAAAGGCAGGCGCCAAACCGCTGCACCACTCAGGGATCCCTCATTGGGGTTTTGATTTGTATTTCCCTGATGGCAAGTGATGCAGAGCATTTTCTCATGTGCGTGTTGGCCATGTCTATGTCTTCCTCTGTGAGATTTCTGTTCTTGTCTTTTGCCCATTTCATGATTGGATTGTTTGTTTCTTTGCAGTTGAGTTTATAAGTTCTTTATAGATCTTGGATACTAGTCCTTTATCTGATAGATCATTTGCAAATATCTTCTCCCATTCTGTAGGTTGTCTTTGAGTTTTGTTGACTGTTTCTTTTGCTGTGCAAAAGCTTCTTAGCTTGATGAAGTCCCAGTAGTTCATTTTTCATAGCTGTCTTTTTAACAGACATACAGCCTGCCATCTGTGGTTATACTTTTATCCTTTTAGTTATTCCCTTAGCAATGGAAAGACCACATAGTTTGCTTTCTTTCTACCATTTCTGTCATAAACAATGTAATGACTTCTTAATGGCTATCATTTTTTGCTCTTTTGATTAGTTCCTTGGAGTCCCAGAAAGTAGAATCACTGAGTCAAAAGTTATAAACACTTTAATATATCTTGAAATATATTGTCATTTATTTTCTAAATATACCTTCAAAGCCTCACAAAGTTACCAGTTTATAGTTCCGTAGCTATATATGAGTTTCACCAATGTTACATGCTTAAAAATCTATATATCATTGCTTTAAAATATTTTTTGAATTCTAGAAATGTTGTGTGTGCTTTTATATATATTCTTGTATTTTTTTAAGATTTTATTTATTTATTCATGAGAGACACACACAGAGAGAGAGAGAGAGAGAGAGAGAGAGAGGCAGAGACACAGGCAGAGGGAGAAGCAGGCTCCAAGCAGGGAGCCTGACGTGGGACTGGGTCTCCAGGATCACGCCCTGGGCTGAAGGCGGTGGGCTACCCTGTATTGTTTCTTTTTATCTGTTTGTATCTTTTGCTTGTATGTCTTCTAGGATGACACGGTTGTTTTTTAGAATAAAGATAAATTTATTTGTGGCAAATATTTTTTACAGTCTGTTGATTGCCTTTTACAGTCTTTTAAAAATGTAACCATAGCTGCCCATCTTTTATGGTTTCTTCTACAGCTCCTAAGTTTTGGAAGTCCTTGCCAGGTTTGATAAATATTTAATTATATTTTCTTTTCATTTGATAATTAATTTTTTTCATTCAACAAATATTTACCTCTCACTTACTCTTAGCCAGCCAGTCATACCATGTTGAGGACATGGTAGAGACGAAAATAGAAATGACCTCTCTAGGAGAAAGTGGATATTTGCAAGAGCTGATAATCTAATTCTAGGCTCTTACACAGCAGGGAAGAAGTCAACATGTTAATAAAGCAGCTATTCTGTCATTTTTTAGTTGTGTGGGGTTTTTTTATTTTTATTTTTTTGGTGCAGTAGTGTGAGAGTACAGCTTAAACTAATTTCAAATTGCCACCTATTTATTACAATATAGTTTATTGGATAGTTATTTCCCACCATTGATTTATGGTATTTCATTATCTCTGTAATTTGGAGACACTATAATGTATTTGTTCTGGAGTCAGGGTAACCTGTGGTTAGATCCTAGCTCTCCATTCCCTAGCCAAGTGACTTTGGACATGTTGCTTATCCTGTTTGGACTTTTATTTCTTCATCTGTAAGTAGGGTGGCAATATTATCTATTATTGAACGATTGTGACAATTAAAAGCAAAAGGCTTAAAACATTTTTTAAAAGGTATTGAATTATTCTTGTCAGGTGATCTGTATGAAAAATTGCCCTGTACCCAAAAACATGATGTTTCTCTTTAGGTGAAGGCAAAAACATAACCAAAAATTCAATGCTTGGTATGAAAATGAGTTGCATTAAGAAAAAGCTCATAGGGATCCCTGGGTGGTGCAGCGGTTTGGTGCCTGCCTTTGGCCCAGGGCACGATCCTGGAGACCTGGGATCAAATCCCACATAGGGCTCCCAGTGCATGGAGCCTGCTTCTCCCTCTGCCTGTGTCTCTCCCTCTCTCTCTCTCTCTCTCTCTCTCTCTCTCTGACTATCATAAATAAATAAGTTGAAAAAAAAATTAAAAATATTTTTTAAAAAAGAAAAAGCTCATAAAAAGAGATAGTTTTCATTTAATTTTTTGCCTCTGAGCAAGGTGCAAGGATATCTACATGAGTGTTGGAGGGCATGTGTTTTATCATTAGCTCAGTGGAATTGAATTCCCAGTTCATGCAGGTGGATGGAATTTGTATGAGCCTGCTCAACTTAAGATTTAAAAAAAAATCACAGAACTCTATTAAGGCCTTAGATCCCAACTTCTTTGTGTCTCTCAGATGTCAGGAGCAGTACTGGTCTTGGGCCTTGTGACACCTTGATATCTTCTTCTTGTCCTGACCTCAACCTCATCTCTGTTTTCGTTCTTGCCTCTGGTCTTGATCATGAGTCTTGGATAATTCTACTCCTAGAGACATGAGGATCCTTTTCTGGATTTGTCTCCCTTTTCATACTCTCAGGAATTCTTCTTGAATAATTTCCAAATTCATTGGGGGCAGAAGTAGCAGTGGGTGAAAGGAATACTGGGAAGATAGAATGGAGGCTGGGGAAAAGGGGAAGGGCCCTGTGTCCAGTGCCTGCTCACCTTGTGGTTCTCGGCTTTTCAGCAAAGCTTTGGGGAAAACAGAGGAAATATGAACTTCCTTTAATCCTAAAATGATTTTTTTTTCTTTTTCAGTCCTAACTTAAACTAGATTTTCAGCTCTAATCTGTCCGTTGGTTGACACTTCTCCCCTTCATGTGTCAATAAGAAAGAAACCATCTTGGGAAAAGCTTTCAAAGTGGAAGTTTTAGAAGCAGTGGAGATCGGCAGCTATGCCAGGATGAAAATTGTTATGTTTTAAACATGATGTCATCCCCTGAGCAAAGTGAAATAAGCCCAAAGGCAAATGTAGACAGGCATACCCAATTTGTCTTAAAGTGCCGGAAACCCATTCAGCCTTACATCTGCTCAACTCTGAAGGATTTTCAAGAAGAGAGAGACTTTTTGGCCAACTACATCTTCCCTCAACTTAATGAACTCTGCAGTGTCCGGGGCACTTATTTCAAAGCTGGAGACCTCAGGTGGTCAGGGTTAAAGGCCTCACCACCCTTGCCCTCCAGCCTGTTTAGACAGCATTCTTGTCTCCACTCCCAGAACCTGAAGCTCTGTCTTGACTATGTGAATAGCTGCTTCCCCTTTTTCATCGGCATGTTGGGTCAGACATACGGGGACTTTGTCCCTGACCACGTGCTTTTAATGATCTCCAAAGTGACAGACTTGTCCAGTTTATCCACCGTAGAGCAGAATCTCTATGTTGCTGCAAAAAATGGTTACTCTTGGGTCCTGGAGAATCCCAACTACAGTTTGACAGAGTTTGAGATCATCCAAGCAGCATTTCGGAATGAATCTCAGTTTCAGTATTTTTACTTTAGGAGTGGAAGCACGCTGCTGAAGATTTTAGATGAGGAAAAGGAGAGGCTGTCCTCAGGCTCTCTGAATGACGAAGAAAAATTAAAGATTGAAAAGCTGAAGGCCAAGATTATTAGTAAAGGCTTCCCTGTTCGATTTTATAAAGATCTCCATGAGTTGGGTGAGCTGGTTTTTAAGGACTGGTCAGTTGTGATAGCACAACTTTACCCAGACACATTAATGATTGAAAATATAGGTAAGTAACTGTGGAGATAGTCTGTATCAACATAAAGTCAATATGTTTTCCATGTCTTCCTTGTAAGAGGGCTTTTTAAACGATTGAGAATATTCTCTAAGCATTTAAAATTGTTAGCATACATCTGTAATGTGCATTTCTTCATTTGAAAATTTCTGAAACTGGAAATACAAGTAAAAATAAGGGTTATGGAAGATTATTTAGGAAGTTCAGGAGCTGAGAAAAGGCCTAAAATATCCAGCAGTTAATGTGGTAGCTCTAGCGTAGAGCTTCTCAACCAGGGCCAGTTGTCCCCCCACCGGGCATTGGGCCTACTCTGAAGACATTTTTTTTAAAAGGTTTTCATTTATTTATTCGTAGAGACACAGAGAGAGAGAGAGGCAGAGACACAGGCAGAGGGAGAAGCAGGCACCATGCAGAGAGCCCGACGTGGGACTCGATCCAGGGTCTCCAGGATCACGCCCTGGGCTGCAGGCGGTGCTAAACCGCTGCACCACCATGGCTGCCCTGAAGACATTTTTTTTTTTTAAAGGTTTGTTTGTTTATTCATGAGAGACACACAGAGAGGCAGAGACATAGGCAGAGGGAGAAGCAGGCTCCCTGTGGGGAGCCTGATGTGGGACTCGATCTCAGGATCCTGAGGTCACAACCTGAGCCAAAGGCAGACACTCAACTACTGAGCCATCCAGCCATCCTGTCTGAAGATGTTTTGGTGTCAGAATTAGGGTAGTGCTCCTGGCATCTTAATGGGTGGAGGTCAGGAATACTGCTTGACATCTTGCAGAGCAAAAGACAGCCCCCATAATAAGGAGTTTCCAACCAAAATGTCAATAATGCCAAGGTTGAGAAACCCTGATCTAAGGGATCCCTGGGTGGCGCAGTGGTTTGGCGCCTGCCTTTGGCCCAGGGCACGATCCTGGAGACCCGGGATCGAATCCCACGTCGGGCTCCCGGTGCATGGAGCCTGCTTCTCCCTCTGCCTGTGTCTCTGCCTCTCTCTCTCTCTCTCTGACTATCATAAATAAATAAATAAATAAAATATTTAAAAAAAAAAAAAAAGAAAAAAAAGAAACCCTGATCTAAAGGAAAGGGAATTTTTATTAATTTTTGAGTGATTTTTGCATGTTTTTACATTTAATCTTCAAGGTTTATCCCTGCAGGGTTGGTACTATAATTCTGTTTTACAGATGAGCAAATGAAAACTGCTGTATAGCAGTTAAGTGACTTATCTAATGTCACATCATTAGTGAGGGATCATTCCAGATTTTGAATCCAGGTCATTTGGACTCCAAAATCCATGCTTATGTTCTTTCACCCTTACTACTCAGTAATCTGTGGACCAGTCACCTCAACATTATCTAGGACCTTGTTAGAAAGGCATTCCAGATCTACTGAATAAGAGTTTACATTTGAATAAGATGACCAGGTGGGTTGCATACACATTAAAGTCTGAGAAGCACAGCTTGCCATTCTGCCTCTAAATGTCTAAAGACATTAGACTTCTAAATGATTACATTTATTTTTGAGAATAGCATCTCATAGACACATATAGAATAAAAGGGCAGAACAATATTAGAGTATGGCAGAGATTTTTCACCTAGACAGACTTTGGGAGAGATCCTTGATGCCCTTAAAATTATATAAAAAATAGAATGTTTACATGCATATCAGTGTTGGGGGCAGTAGGAAGATGGCCTGTGTCTTTGATCATATTCTCAAAAGGTTCAATGACCCAAAAAAGGTTATGAATTATTCTTGTAAGGGCCCAATTAATGTGAGATTGCAAAGTGATGGCAGGTGGTGCATTCCCACCTGCTTTCAGGGGTCAGGCAAGCAATAGTCCTTATCAAGGGAGTGGATGGATCTATGTGGAACTGAACGAGAAAGAGTTGACTCACCTAAACTCATTTGAATGCAGTGTTGGTGGGGAGGGAGGTGGGTGATAAAATCCTACTAGTGCTGCTCAACTCTCCCTACAAGCCAAATCATTTTGGAGTCCTAGAAAAGACTATTGTGTCAATCATAATTCTTTGGGTTGGGAGGTGACTCAACCTGGCTTTAACAAAAAGGGCATTTATTAGCTTCTATAACTTTAAAGCTCAGGATTAGGTCTGGTTCAGCTCAGGCTTCAACCAGTGGCTCAGTTGACGTTATCTGCCCTGGTTTCTTACTATTTCTCAGCATGGATCTGCTGTCTTGATATTGATTCAATTCCTTGGCTCCTCCATCATGGAAGGTAGGTGGCTGTAGTAGCTCCAAGTTCAAGTCAAGCAGAAGTGGCTCAAAATCCTAGCACTGAGTCTTTCTGTCTCTGATTAGCCTGACTGGAACCATAAGCTTATATCTGACTTAATCACTGGTGCCACTGGGTGTTATGCTACATGTTGGCAAATTGAACTCCAAAAAATAAATAATTAAAAAAAAATCACTGGTGCCAAAAGAATGTGATGCTCTGATTGGCTAATCCTGGGTCATATGCCATGTTTGGAGCTGGAGGTGGAGTCAGACCCACTGGAATAACATGAACTGAGTGTTGAGACAGGGTGGGATATTGGGTGATAATCTGGGGCTGTTACTGAAACCAGAGTAGGGTGATGGGTGTTGAGTGCCCAAAAATATCCTGAATATTTACTACAAGGTTGGAGTTTTAGGTTGTCTAAGAACACGCATGTTCTCAGATCTCAGATTTACAGTTGCCAGCTGGGTGTGACCTTGAGCAAATGATGATCCTGGTAAGCCTTAGTTTCTTCTTCTATATAACAGGTTAACATTAACCATCTTGAGAATAATTGTGTAGAATACCTAAAAACAAAGCTTGTCACATGTTAGGCACAGAGTAAATAGCTGATGAGAATGAATAACAACAAATTAGTCCTGGAAGAACATATGCATTTGGCTAAAGCTTGAAATATGGTTAATAGTGATATTCTGTGATATTCAATCCAAATTGCATATATAGATTAATATTTCCTACTGTGTTCAAGAACCTAGCCTATTTGTATATTTGGACTAGAGACAGGATGCTTCTCCATAATATTCTCCTTAGCCTTTGATTTTAGTTATTATTGAAAAATAGACTTTAGTTTTGAATGTATGATATGTAGATCAAATGTGTGGATTAGAAGTTACAGTATGGATGAATTATAAAAAAGGCTTTAATACCCTCCAGAACTGGAGGGTATTATGCTGAGTGAAGTAAGTCAATCGGAGAAGGACAAACATTATATGGTCTCATTCATTTGGGGAATATAAAAAATAGTGAAAGGGATTATAGGGGAAAGGAGAGAAAATTAGTGGGAAATATCAGAGAGGGTGACAAAACATGAGAGACTCCTAACTCTGGGAAACGAACAAGGGGTAGTAGAAGGGGAGGTGGGGTGGGCAGGGGGATGGGGTGACTGGGTGACGGGCAATGAGGGGGGCACTTGACAGGATGAGCACTGGGTGTTATACTATATGTTGGCAAATTGAACTCCAATAAAAAATATACAAAAATAAAAAAGGCTTTAGAAAGACTTGCTATATTATTTTTTTTTGTATCTTTGATACCCTTTAATCACTCAGGTGGTTCCAAAATCTGATGGGGGTTGGGGGTGGGTAGCAAAAGGCCATTTGGGAAGCCAGTGGGTGTTGTAAGGTGATGTAGAGCTATTGGTTCATACTCTTAACTCTTAGAAACACTTCTGAGGTCCTTGGAGATCCTTGAGATTAGTGGGTGAGGTTCAGGTTTACCTCAAGCGACTCATTAGACTGTGGGGTCATTCCCAATTCTATCTAAGATCTTGAAATTTGAAGCTGACTTTGGCCAGACTGTAGGTCATCCAGGTCTGCTTGGCTCTAACCGGAACCACAGGGCAGCCCAGTTAATATGGAAGTACAAGGTAAGTATTCGGTGAATCTACTAGGTTAATCTACCTGGCATTCATTTTCATGCCTCCATCCTTTAAAACAAAAGCAAAAGCCAAACCTTGGGGGATCTAAGTGTCTTTAGGGACAGAAGGACCTTTTGGCAGTCCAGAACTCCTTGACTTCAATTAAACTATGAGTTTAGAATTAAAGTAAATTGAAACTAGGAGGAATTGCTCAAAGATCCAAGTGTCTGGTTCTGCCCCTTATTTTACCAGAGAGTTTAAGGGGCTTGCCCAGTGGCAGAGCTACATCTGTACCCACCATTGTCATTGTATTAGGGCATCTTGTCCAAAAATATACCCTGTTCTCCCAGCCTCAGCTATGGATAGACATATACACATTTGCCACAAGATTGAATTAGGTCACTTAATACTTAGATAACAACATAAAAAGATGCGTGGATGTATGTAGCAAATTCAGTTTTTAAATTTTATTTTTTTTGCCCTTGTTATTCTGAGGTCAGGATATAACTTGCAATCCTAAGTAGGATCTCATATACAAAGAGCTTTAGAAAGATTAAATGGCTTGTCTGTTGTCTGCTTTCATTATGCAATGGGCTATGAAATATGGTGCCAACATAGAAAGAAGAGGATATGGTTACAGAAGGGGAGATACTTCCTGGGCATTTATAATAACCATATGTAATGGAAAATGTGAAACCAATCTAAGGTACTAAAACTTACTTTTTGTGCACAAAGACTATAAGCACAACTTTGAATGTTACCATCATGAAGACTTTACTGAGAAGTGGAAGCAAGTGTTTGTTATTTCCAAGGAATCAAACAGAACCTTCGAAGTCTTGGAAAGATTTGCCTTAGAGGATGTGGAAGTTGAATTTAGCAATTCTGTGGCAGGTTCCAGTTTAGATTCTATTCTCAGGTAAGATGTCAAGAAATCTCAAGCCTTTCCATTAGGCTTGAGCAAAACAGCCTGACTTTAGTGACTATGATCCCTCAAATTTCAGCTGTTGTCCCCCACCCCCCCTTTCCTGTGCCCATCCTTTCTTGCACTAGAGAGGCCCCATAGAAGCACCCTTAGGTTGGAATTTCCTTATGGGTATCACTCTGCATTTGCAAAGTTTTCCTGGCAAGTTCACTTCCTTTCTTCCAGTCTCCTCAAGAAGATGATAAACTCCCCTGCCACTATAGGTCTAAGTCGATCCAAGTAATTCCTGACAGTGATGGAATGACTTTAAGGAGAAGAAATTAGATCAGGAACTATGAATAATGCATCTGTACAGTGTTGTGTATTTTTATAAGGAGCTTCCACATACATCATCAGTTCATTATTAATGACATTAAGATGTTCAGCTAACACTCATTGAATGTCTACTCCATGGAAATGAGATCGCCAAGGCAAGTGAGGGTCCAAGAACAGATTTTATTGCAGGCACCCTCGGGCGAGGTTCCACGACTCATGGGGGAAAGAGTGAGTCGGGGAAGTCGCGCCAAGACAAGGTGCTAGGGGGTTTACATAACGTTGTAAGGTAGAACGGTTTCCTATTGGTTGGCTCATATGCAAAGGAAGGATTGCAATCCAACCAGTCAGAGTGACCCTCACTATGCAAAGGAAGGATTGTAGTTCGGCCAAAGGTGACTTCCTCCTCTGGGGTTTGAAGGGCATTGGGTTCAGTTGGGGAAGTCCAAAGGGGAGGTGTAAGGGTCTGCGTCAAGCTGTCAGCAGGTCATTAGTCCATTGGCGTCCTAAGTGGAGGAGGTGACAGGAACCTCAGCCATTTTGGGGTATCCGCCATCTTGAGGAGTTTCCTTTCCCGCCTGGCCCCAACACTCCAGGCCACATTATTATTTGTGTTTATGTAGGGCACTGAATTATCTTACCCAACATATGCACTCCCTCTTTGTTTTATCCATTGTCCTCCCCTTAAAATCCCTTTCTCCCTCCCCAAGGGGCATGGTGGTGGCACACTCTGTTCACCAGCCACAGGCAGGAAAAGGCTGGGACATGAAGTGTGACCAGGGTTGTCTACAGTGTCCTTCTCAGTCTCATCTTTAGACATTGGGAGATTTTGGAGATAGTTTCCCTTCTTCCAGCATTGTCGTCCTCTTCTTACCACTGATCTCATTTGTTCCGTGAGTTTCATATTTTGAAAAGAAACCCACCACGTGGCTGGGATGCCCAGCTCCTCCACCCCACCTCACCATCCCCCACCCCAGGCTCTGCACCCACCATCTTAGCCTTGTGAGGTACAGGCAGCACCAACATTTTTGTGGTTCCAGGAACTCGTGCCAAGAGGAAGACAAGTGACTTGGTTAATACAACATGGAGCTCAGGCAAGGTTTTAAAAACTTAACAGGGGTTTGAATATGTAGCTCATGTGTTAAAAACATCTTCGACTTGAATACCCAAATCCATAGAGATGAAAAGCAGGTTAGTGGCTGCCAGGGTAAGAGAAGAGGAGAAACAGGAGATGATTCCCAGTGGGTCTGGGGGTTCTTTTTGGGGTGCTGAAAATTTAGCGGTGATAACTCATACAACCGTGTGAATACAGTGAAAACCGCTGAATTGTACACCGTGAGACGGTGAGGTTCTGGTCCATGAACTATTTCTCACTTAGGTTATCATTTTGAGTATTTCAGAGTAGATGAGAAATCTGATAATTTTTGTTGCAATGAAAGGAGCCCACTGTGCCCGATTAGATACAATGGTGAAACAAGTCCTTTGAAAGTAGCTGTGTGGAAGCAGGACTTTGCATTTGGAAACAATGCTTTGTACTGTAAGTTCCCGAATCACACATACGGTAACAGAAAGGTAACAGAAAGGGATGTTCGGTTGGAGTTTCAAAGTGTTGTCTTAACTGACCGTGTAGAGCAGTTGTAGAGCAGTTGCGCCAGGTTGCTTTGCCAGGTTTTCGTTTTGTTTGTTCCTAAGAAGCAAGCATTCAGACCCTGGCCTCATTGTGGGGATGCATTCTGTTTGTATTTTTCCTTCATTGGTTTTGTCTGCTCAGTGCCAAGGAGTGTTCTGGAACCAGGGGCCATAGCAGCCAAACCAGCAGACAGAGCCCTGTGCGTCCACGGCGCTTACTTCACCCACGTGGTAGACACGCAAAGTACATGACAGCTTGGATGCCTTAGTGCTTTGGGCAGATAGGAGACCTTGAGAGGAATACAAGGTGCGAGGTGGCGCACGGCTGACTAGTGGCAGCCCTTGGGGAGCAGGCTACGCAGACGGGGAGCGGACGAGCATTCCTGATGGAAGGAACAGCAAACTCGGAGGTCCTGGGCTGGAGCAATGTGGGGCGGTTAGACAGCCCGCACCCAGGGAGACAGGACCGCAGGGAGGATAGGGGGCGTGAGGTGGACCTGTCACAGATTGGGGGGTCTTGTCTGTTTTCACGGGTCATTGTCAGGACTGGGGCTTTGCCTCTGTTTAGCACAGAGTCTGCCCTTCAGATGTGACGACCAAGTAACGAGAACACTAGCACACTGACTCCTGAGTCCTGATAATGCAGGCGGAATACTTAGGGAACAATTTCTATTTAATGATCCTAACCTGTTTTAGGTCCTGTTTTAAAGGCTCTGCAGACTGATCCTCTTGCTCCGCTGAACCCAGCTGTCAGGCTTATTTATCTGATTTCGTTCAGTCAGTCAGCAGTTAATGACTGGCACTGTGCCAGTCACGAGTTCCCCAGACACGAGCTGGATAGGCCCGGTGACCTGCATCCATAAACGGTCACCGGATGCGGACTTGTTACATCATCAACATGTAAGGAACAGGGCAGGAGCCTACATGTTCTGATATGGGGGGACCTGGGAATCCTCTGCATCCGGGGAAGTTCTGCAGCATGAGAGTTGAACAGTGGGACCAGTCACACTGTGCTCATGTCGGTCACAGAGGCGCTGCGGGAGCCTGGGCCGAAACACCTGGTAGAGGAGCAGGCTTCCTCGTTCGGAGGCACCAACCATCCTGGCAGTTTCCAGAGTCATGGTAACCGGGACCATGGGAGTCCTTGGCATATGAATGCTCCTATGTTTCAGCCTCTCCTGATACGATGCTGTCCGGAGGACTCACGTGGTGCTGGTGGCTGTGGCCCTGGGAGGGACAAACAGCAGATTCAAGGGCAGTGGATGGATGTGTTTGGGTCTCCCTCCCTAGGCCTCTGGGCAGGGTGGGCCCTGGGTGTACCCCAGGTTGGTACCAACAACCCTAGGGTCTGTGTAACTGGGAGGGCCTTCTAAGGCTACCATCTCTTGACTGTTTTAATTCTACATAGGACAGAGCTAAAGCCCAGAGGGCAGATAACTTACTTGGAGCCAAATAAGGCCAAAGTTGAGACTAGAATTTCCTATCTCTTGGTGAGAGTTGCAGGAAAATTTCTTCTCCCCTGCTCCCTCCTTCCCTTCCTTTGTATATATTCTTGGCTATATTTTACCCCTTTATTATTTCAGAATAAATCCTGTTCCAGTTTACAAGTCCATTTTGCTCTTGTCTGGAGAACGTGGTTGTGGGAAGTCTACTCTGATCGCCAACTGGGTGAATTATTTCAAAAAGAAATATCCCAGCATCTTGATGATCCCTCATTTTGTGGGCAATACTTGTGAAAGCAGTGACATCATGTCTGTGATACATTATTTCATCACAGAGTTACGGTACAAAAACTATGGTACTGGAATCAAGCTTTAACTTTGGAAAATTTGTGTTAGAGATTATATATCCTGTCTTGCTGTTTCTGTGGCTGTTTTCCTCCTGTTGCACTGTAAACCCTGTCCTGTCTCACCAACATGATCTACCCACTGCTTCCCCTCACGGAATTAAATTTCCTTCCTTCTTTTCTTACTTTCTTCTTTCACCGAATATTAATTGAGTGCCTTTATGTGCCAGGGCACTAGCAGTGAGGGTACAAGCATGAACAAAGTGGACAAAAGTCCTTACCCTTACCGTGTGTTTATGTTACTGGAGTGAGGGAAACAAAGAGTTAACCAACTAAAAACGTTGGATGGTAAGTTCTATGAAGAAAAATAAAACAGAACATGAAGGGAGGCAGGGTGTAGTGTATGTCAGAGCTGTTAGGATCTGCAAAGTGGTCTGGGAAAGCCTCGCTGTGAAAGGGACATTTGAATACCTATCTGAAGGAGGGAGCCGAGCTGGTATTGCAGGGACAGCATTCCAGTCAAAGGAAAGAAGGGCCAGGCCTCCAACTGTTGCTCCTATTTGATCCTGTAACTATTTACTGAGCGTGTTCATTTGCTCACTTGCTCATTCATTCACTCATTATTGAATATTTATTGGTTGCTTATCGTGCCCTAGGCACTTCCTTGGGTTCTAGGGATGTACACGTCAGGCAAATAGGGTCATGGCTCTCACAGATGTGATGTTCTAGTTGAGAATGGCAGACAACAAATAAATGAGAAACAAACAGTGATAAATGCCATGCAGAGTGCTGTGATAAGGTGACAGGGTGCTAGTTAGGTTGAGTGGCCAGGGGCCGTGTCTCTGTGCAAGAGGAACTCTAGCTGTGGTGACAAATAAGTCTCATATCAGTGGCTTCTCACATGAAGTCTATTTCTCACTCATGGACCAGCCCAGTAAGGGGTTCCTCATCAGTCACAAGTGGCTTTCTTCCATGTGGTGATGTGGGGACACAGGCCTTTTGCATCTTGAGGCTTAAAGCCCTGGGGCTCCAGAGTCCTCCGCCTTTGGCTGGAGGAAGAGGAAAAAGAGTGGAAGAGGCACAGCTGTTCCTTTGACGCCTAGGCCTGGCAGTGATCCAGATCGTTCCCACTGCCATTCTTTTGGCGAGGACTTGGCCACCCTGGGCCCACATGGCCACCCTTGGAGTCGAGGGAGGACAGAACGCCACAGCCCGGGACAGGGAGGATGGACTTCTGCAGGACAGGCAGCTATCTCTGCTGTACGCTGTGGAGATGGCACAGGCAGTGAGGGGTTAGAACCTTCCAGGCAGAAGGAATAGTTAAGGTAATGTGGGTCCTATGGAGATAAAGTTGAGTTAGAAAGGGAAAGCAGGCCCGTATGGCCAGACGGGGGTCGGGGTGGGGGGGATGTGGGGGCATCAGACCTGATGGGAGGAGGGGAAGGTCGGTACCAGCACCGCAGGTCTGGGTCTTGTTTCAGAGTGTTAGGTTCACACTCTATTGAATGCAGAGGGAGGCTGTGGAGGGGCATCACCAGGGGAGTGGCGTGCTTCCATTGATACTCTGGAAAGATTAAGATCAGCCTAATGGATGTGGGGGAGCAAGGACGGAGGCAGGACGCTGGTTGGAGGACACTGCTGTGGTCCAGGCAGTCACGATGCGGGGGAAACAGAGCGCAGAAGGAGGAGGGCCGGTGGGCCGAGCACCTCCTGGGGAGCTGAATGTGGGGCTCAAAACACGGAGGAGCTGGGCACAGCCTGGGTGGTGAGGGGCCCCATGAGATGCAGTGGAGTACACGGGGAGAGGGCAGCAGGTTGTGAGCGGACCGGAAGGCTGCCGCTTTGGGTGAAGGATCTTCAGGGTACAAGGTGTACATGGGGACAAGGGCCGCTGTGTGGGCTCCGCCTCTGTGCTAGGAGCCACCAGGAGCCTGGCTCTACTTATTAGCTGTGGAGCTTCCTTGAGTTGTTTGAGTTCTGCAGCTCAGTGTGCCTGCTTTGCAAATGTGGATAAGAAAGGAAATGTCTTCAGGCAGTGCAGGAGATGATCACTAAGGTGAGGTATGAATAAATAAAGACCTGTTGCAGTGCTTGGCGTATAGTAAGCCCTAATTAATATCAGCTGTTATTATAATTGGGAGTGTGTTGTGTATTTGCATGTCTGGCTGCTTTTGGGAACTTGTCCCTTCTCATGTGGGCTTGGGCCCAAGCATGCTTTTGGGTATTGAGTGGGGATATGAGACCCCGAATGAGTTTTGATGGACGTGCATCATCTTTATAGGATGGTACAGATATTTGAGCTCCTGTGTGTATGTGTGCGCGCGCTCCTGTGCATGTCTGTAACCAGGGTGAACACGTGGGCATGAGTTCTCTGCGGTACCATTTCTCAGGTGCATAAAGTGGTAAAATCAAAATCAGGAGCAGCAGGTGTGACTGGTTCTGAAGAACAACCACGGATCTGACTCAGCCACAGCCAAGGGACTTGGGTCTGGCTGGGCTGAGGAAAGGAACTCAACCCGAACGTGCCCAATTATGACTTTATTCCCAAAGTGAATTGTGATTTTTATTTATTTATTAAAGATTTTATTTGTTTATTCATGAGAGACAGAGAAAGGCAGAGACACAGGCAGAGGGAGAAGCAGGCTCCATGCAGGGAGCCCGATGCGGAACTCGATCCCAAGACCCCAGGATCACCACCTGAGCTGAAGGCGGCATAAACCGCTGAGCCACCCAGGCTGCCCATGAATTGTGATTTTAATGACTGTTTTTAGGTGCTGAAAGCTCCTAATCAAAACAGCTGCTGTCTTTGAAACACATCTTGAGATTGGCAAAGTAGAATAAAATCAGGGACAGCCTGTCCATAGCAGACAGCTTGTGTCCCTGAAGGAAGACCCCAAGGGAAAAGGCTGTGGTTCAGCTCTCAGCCCACCTGCACGGTCCAGTCCCGCCCTGCTGCTTGCTAGCTGTGTGCTCTGGGCCCTTGGCTGTCAGCAGGGGTGAGCCTATCGGCCTGGACATAAAGTTGCGAGGGGATGAGCAGAAACTACAGGGAAAAGGACTTACAAGAGTTCCTGGCCACAGTTGTTAGTGTTACTGTTGTCCCGATTATTATTAGGATTATTCCTTACTGAGCTAGAGAAACAGGCAGAGAGCGGGGACTGCTGAGGGAAACCAGAGGCTCTATTCATTCACTAGACTAAAGGAGGAGGTGGCAAAGCCGCAGCCTGGGAGGAAGCGGAGGGGAGCCGGCCCCGCGCGGCCTGGGGGAGGGAGCTGGGTACCCCTCACCCCGGTTGGGGTGGGGGTGAGCGAAGGAGGGGCTGCAGCGGCGGTGGGGGCGCAGCCGGGCGGGAGGTCAGGGCGCGGAGCACGTGCAGCTCGGTTGGTGACAGGGGTAGGGGGGGCTCCCTGCCTCCCTCCCTGCGCGCTCAGCCTTGCGCAGCCCCGGCTCCTGCGGGTCCCCCCGCCCAGGGACAGCAAGACGCGCCCCCGTCGGCGTCGGCGCCCCTGCTGCCAGGTTAAGGGGCCGCCGCAGGTGCCCGCGGGTTCAGCGCCCCGGCCGCTGGTGCTGGTGCCCGTCGGTGACCTGCCGCCGACCACGCATCCCGGTGCTCCCCCGGCCCGTGGCCCCGGCAGGACAAGGTGCGGCTGCCGGCCTGCGGGGCTTGCTCAGCACTGCCGCGGGCGCCGTGGACAGAGGGCGCGGGACGCTGGCTCGCACCGCCGCGCGTGCAGAGCAGGGCTCGGCCTCAGGTGTCCGCGGAGCTCCCGGCCCGGCCTACTGTGGCCGGGTCTTGTGTCCTCGAACCCACAGAGGGACGTCCTGCTCTTTAGGATATCTATTAGGGTCCCCTCCTGGCACCAGCCACCAGGAGAGTCTGCGCCCCAGTCTGTGATGTGGAATGGGCGAAAGTGCCCGCGGGACTCCCTGGCAGGCTGCAGGGCTTGGGGAGCCCCGCGCCCGCCGTGGGCTTGGCTGACTGCTCAGGGGTCTCCACCCCGACCCGACCCGCCGCACCACGGGTTGTCCCCCCCCCCCCCCCCCCCCCCGCCCCGTACCACTCCCATCCCGACCCGCGCTCCGTCCCCCAACAGCCAGTCACTTCTGTCCTTGTCTGTCTGCTCCTGTCCCCTTCTACTGGAATGCCCCTCCCTTTCCTCAGGTCAGTGAATACCTTCTCATCCCCCCCCCCAACCTTTTTTATTTAAGATTTTATTTATTATTCATGAGAGACAGAGAAGCAGAGACAGAAGCAGGCTCCCTGTGGGGAGCTCCATGCGGGACTCGATCCCAGGACCCCCGGGGTCACGCCCTGAACCGAAGGCAGGCGTTCCACCACTGAGCCACCCAGGGACCCCTCCTATCCCTCCTTAAGGCCCTATTTAAAGAGCACCTGTTCTGGGGCACCTGGCTGCCTCAGCCAGTGGAACATGCGATTCTTGATCTAGGGGTCATGGGTTCGAGCCCTACATTGGGTGTAGAGATTACTTACTTACTATAAAATCTTTTTTAAAAGTAGTAAAGAGCACCCTCTCAATAAGAGAGCCTATAGGGTGCCTCTCTCCCTCACCTCCAACTTTGACTAAGTGATGAGGATAGCCCCAGTCTCATTGTTTTCTAGTTTATGTGAGTGTCTCCCTGCAAACACTGTGAGCTTGATGTCCTGGTCCCCCATGACTTATACGTGGTGCTGCCACGATGTTTTACTGTATCCCCCTATAGTCTTGAGAGTGCAGGGAGCCGTGTCAATTCTTTCTTTTTTTCCACTGTGGCACAGAGAGGTTTATTTTTCCAAACAAGACCAAAAGCTTAGCTTAAAAATAATAAACCCAATTATACTCACACACATAAACAACATCAGAAATAACATGTGTTTGAGCCATGTCTATTTTGTTAGTGTCACACTCAGTGCCCGATGCAGAGCCTAATATAGAGGGTTCTAAACAAATCCTTATTGAATAATGAGGTAACACTATGCAAAACTGAAAAAAAAAATTGGTCAATCACTAAATCATTTTGTTACAAAGTGTTTTGAAATTGTATCCATTGACCTTTTTCCTTCTACCCCATTAAATTTACCTATCCTGATTGGATCTTTGAACACTTGGGATGTTACCATTTAAATTAGGCAATGGGGGATCCCTGGGTGGCACAGCGGTTTAGCGCCTGCCTTTGGCCCAGGGCGCGATCCTGGAGACCCGGAATCGAATCCCACGTCAAGCTCCCGGTGCATGGAGCCTGCTTCTCCCTCTGCCTGTGTCTCTGCCTCTCTCTCTCTCTCTGTGACTATCATAACTATCATAAATAAAAATAAAATAAAATAAAATAAAATAAAATAAAATAAAATAAAATAAATAAAATAATAAAATAAAATAAAAAAATAAATTAGGCAATGGGCGGCTGTCATTGAGTAGAGACTGTTTGGCTCTAACACAATAAAGAGACATGTTTAGAATCATTTTCCACTGCTCATGATTCTATCTTCAATATTATTTTGAGGAAAAATAATTCTAATCACCCCAAAGGGAATATTAAAAACACTGAACTAATGCTTTCCTTTGCGTATGCAGATAAAAATCCATTAAATATCTTCCTTGAGGTTTCTTTTTCCCTTTCTTTGCCTGGGATTATTTTTTTGCTGATTTTTATGAGTGACGTTATGCTTTACAATGGTCAGGCTGTGTATATTTTCTGAGGTTCCTTCGCCTTCATTTTGTCAATTAGCCTCTTTTTTTTTTTTTTTTTAAAGATTTTATTTATTCATGTGAGACACACAGAGAGGCAGAGACACAGGCAGAGGGAGAAGCAGGCTCCCTACGGGGAGCCCGATGTGGCACTCGATCCCAGGACCCAGGGATCACGCCCTGAGCCAGGCCTTCCTGTCACTTAGCTTCTATATCAGCTTCATGCAAGAGGTGAGTGGTGCATGTCTTCCACATAGGACTGCTGGTGAACCGTACACATGGGTGGTGACCCACACAGCTTGAAACCTCAAATGGAGTAATCTTTAACTGATGACGTGTTGTTTGCAAAATCAGTGTTTCAAAGCTCCCAATGATCCGTGTTCAAGTTTCTTCACCTTCCTAGGTCTGTTTCCTCACCTACTAAATGAGGGTTTGGCTAGACTATGTGATTTCCAGAATTCTTTCTGCTCTCAACTTCAGTTACTTAGGGCCTGAAGTCTCGATATCGCCTGTACTTTAAAGATTTGAAAAAAAAAAAATGCTCCAAAACCTGAAAGGATGAAGCATTGAGATTAATTGTTCTCTTCCCGTTTTTGAAAAATATTTTTTATTGTGTGACACAAGCACAAACTATCTCTAAGATTTTAATTTTTTAAAAGATTTTATTTATTTATTCATCAGAGATAGAGAGAGACAGGCAGAGACATGGGCAGAGGGAGAAGCAAGCTTCCTGTGGGGAGCCTGATGCGGGACTTGATCCCAGGGTCCCGGGATCACGACCTGAGCCAAAGGCAGATGCTCAACCACTGAGCCACCCAGCGCCCCAAGATTTTAATTTTTTAAAGTAATCTCTATACCCAATGTGGGGCTTGAACTCATGACCCTGAGACCAAGAATTGCACAGTCCATCGCAGAGCCAGCTGGATACCCCTATCTTTTTTGATTCCTTCTCCTTTATTCCTCACATTCATATATAACCTTCAAGTCATTGATTTTATGGTCGTTTGCTGATATAAAAATATCTTTAAAAATCAATATGTCGAATTTTATGATAAATAAATCCTGGGGATGTCTTGTATAGGATGGTGACCTTAGTTAACAATACTGTATTGTATATTTGAAAGTGGCTAAGAGTACATCTTAAGAGTTCTTATCACAAGAAAAAAAATTGTTTGATTCTTTTAAAAAATATTTTAAGTAAGCTCCATGCCCAACATTGGGTTTGAACTCACAATCCTGAAATTAAGAGTTGCATGCTCTACGACTGAGCCAGCCAGGCACCCCGAAAAAAATGTTTCTGTATCTGTGTGGTGATGGATGCTAACTAGACTTACAGTGGTGATCATTTAGTAGTGTGTACAAATATCAAATCATTATGTTGTATGCCTGAAACTAATTTATAACTCAATAAAAAGAAAACCAGTGCTACCCTCTACTATAATGTAAAAGAGAAAGATAAAGTAATTTATTATAAAATAATATGTATTTCAATATATAAATGCTCAAACATAATTCCAATAGAGGCCCCAGAAGAGTAGACAGGTGCCTGCCTCTATACAGAAAATGACCACAAAAGCAGTAGCTGTCCATGCAGACTGGCGTGGCCATATATTCAAGGTTCAAACATCACGAACAATATTCCTGCCAGGGTTGTGATTTCCCGAAGTGGTGAACAAATCTTGGTCTCATTTCAGACGAAGCAACATATAATCTTCCATCACTTTATATGGTAGCTGTATTCCTAGGAAATTTAATGTGTTTTAAATCTGTGCAAATTACTTTGTGTTTGCATGAAAATGGAGTTGGTTCCTAGGTAACGTAATTAGTAAGATTCCCTCCTTCATGAGTGTCAGACAGACCTTTGAGTCTGGTAGATCCCAGGATGCAGCTTCATTGATTGCCTCCTGTGTTGTAGGACGTCTAGAAACCCTGGACCTCCTCTGTTGAGTTCACTGCTCTAATCAACTTCCTGTTTTTTGAATGTTCATACACTTTCCTACCTCCATACCTTCACCTGTGCCTTGTCCTGGATGGTAACCCTTGCCCTCATCTCTACCTGTGCACGGACATTTCTTTACCGTGATGGCTCTGCATCAAACTCCAGTAAACTTCAGACTCATATTCTGCCTTCAAAGGTGGTTATTTGTGTCTAGAACCCATTTCACTTCCCTTAATTCCTACACTTTATAATATAGACCATTTTATCTCCTCTTGGCTTCTAGCACGGAGCCTTGTATATAACAGGTAACCAGTAAGTAGCTGTTAAGCAGAGTTACTCTCAAAGCTTCTAACAGAATCTAAATGCATCTGAGAGACTAAATCCATTAAAACTTCTTTTCATGACTTGATTTTCTAGATTCTAATGTGCCTAAATTTCTTTTTTTTTATAATTAATTAATTAATTTATTTATGATAGTCACAGCGAGAGAGAGAGAGGCAGAGACACAGGCAGAGGGAGAAGCAGGCTCCATGCATCGGGAGCCCGACGTGGGATTCGATCCCGGGTCGCCAGGATCGCGCCCTGGGCCAAAGGCAGGCGCCAAACCGCTGCACCACCCAGGAATCCCTGTGCCTAAATTTCTATGGGAAACATTGCTTTTGAAAAATAAAAGCAAGGTCAAGGTTGTATGTAGTAAAATGTCCTTAGAATATTAGGTAGTTGAGGGGCACCTGGGTGGCTCAGTCTGTTGAATGTCAGACTCCTGGTTTCTGCTCAGGTTGTGATCTCAGGGTCATGAGATCAAGCCCAGAGTCAGGCTCTGCACTGTGCATGGAGCATGCTTAAGATTCTCTCTCTCTCTCTCTCTCTCTCTCTCTCTCTCTCTCTCTCTCTCACTGCCCCTCCCCCCTGCACACATGTTCTCTCTCTCTCTTGCTCTAAAATTAATAAGTCTTAGGAAGAGTATTAGGTAGCTGATTATAATTTTGGGTTGCTGCTACTATGTCACTTAATGGGAGTTTGAAAGTTGGTCCTTTTATTATATCCTATATATAGCCTTTACTGGCTCTTTACCTAATTCTCCCTGATAATTTCCAGAATCTAAGGTCTTGGGTCCGATATTGTGAGTAGAGTAACTCAGTATTGGTTATGTCAGGTTTAATGTGGGTGAGGAATGAAGAGCCTGGGGGGAGATGATGCATGTGTGCACTGCTGGACCACCCAGGGTGGTAACTGTGGTCCTGAGACAGCTACTTGGTGTAACAGAGCTGCCGAAACTTCACAGACCATGTAGATTGGCTTCTCCTTCTCCCCAACCAACTCTTTGTAACATGATCTATCTTTGCATTTTGGAGAAAGAGAGTAATGCTTTGGATCATACAAAATGTTTTCTATATAAAATCCTGAAAATGTATAGGAGACATCTGGTGGTAAATATCATTATCCCTTTTGGGTTGAATATTTTTAGGCTGCTAATCACACATATACCTATATGTGTCAGCTGTACAGCTGTGAATAGCACTCATTGTTCCCAACCCCTTCCACCTCCCCATCCCATTAACATATTCTAGCAACGATGGAAACATTTTTGCCTAATCTGAGCAAATTCCTATGCTCTAGGTACTCAGCTTGAAACTGATATTCTTAACGAAGACTCAAATGTCTTGGTCTTTTCGCTTCTTGTGGAAGTGTTCATTGCTTCCATCAGTTTAAAGCCATGTATACTTGTCCTAGATGGAATCGAAGAACTGATTGGCATTTATGGGATTTCAGGACAGAAGGTAATCTCTTTTTAAAATAATACCTATTTTACTGCTGTTTTATAAAAAAAACCCATAATTTAGAATGTATGTAACATCTTTCCATTATGATGCATATCTGTAGCCATAGCCAGCATGGCTTATAGTCACTGCTCTATGTTTTATTGAACAAATCCTTCTGTGGGGACACCTACAGCGGGTCGGGTGCCCTTCTAGGAAGTTGGGGAATATTGATGCATGTAATTCTCTGAAGAACCCTATGAAAGAGAGACCGTGATCATCATCCCTGTTTACACAGAGGGGGCTGAGTGTGGAGATGTTAGGCGACTTACAGAACATCTGAAGATGATGATAGACTTGACATTCAGATGTGGGTAGTCTGGTTCTAGACACTATGGCCTTTACTCCAGCCTGGTTCTGCTTCCCTCCCTATTTTATGCTTTGCTCAAGCATTTATTGAGCCCCTAGTATTTTCTTACTTTGTATATTTTGATTTGCCTCATCTACACTGATTTTGCACCTACCAAACTAGTTGCTCTTTGATCCTGCTTGAGGCTATATTGGATCAATGGAACCTCCAATACAACTTAGTATCAGTCATTACTTTGTGAAGCATTCCCTCTAAAACTTAAAAGCACATGTAATTATAAATTATGTAAGTCATCTATGTTTCTCATAAAGAAAATGATAAAGAAGAAGGAAAAAAATTTGGTATACTCATAGTCTCACCACTGTTCACCATTTTAGAGTCTAGCCTTTTTTCTATGGATATTTATATATGCTCATTGATGCTTATGTAAGTAAGTCACATGCCGTATTGTTTTATAACCTGCTTTTTAACTTAATACACAGCAAGCACCATAAATTCAACAATTGTTGACCACTCATTATGGGAAAAGCATGTAAGCAAAGTCAGACATGGTCCGGCAAACAGAGCTTTCACTCTAGCAGGGGATGGCAGCTGTTAATGAGGCTATTACACAATAAGCATAAAATTGCAGCTGTGACAAGTGCTACCAAGGATCAGTATGTAGTTTGGTGAGAGCCTCTAATGAAGAGATTTGGACTTTGGAGGAGGCTCCCTGGAAGAAGGACTCCAGGCAGAGCACTGCATGGGGAGGAGGGACTGTCCAGGCTGTTACCTACACCCGTAGAGTGCAGTGGTTCAGAGCCTGCCTGGGGAGCCAGACCCTTGGTGTCAATCCAGGCTCCGCTGCTTGCTATCAGAATGGATTAGATATGATGATTAGCCCCTCCTCTGCCTTTCTAGAGTATGTATGAAGTAGAGAATGTAGAATCTAGAGGGTTGTGCAGAGGACTGAGTGACGATATGGAGAAGCCAGTACCATTGAAAGAATACATTATAACTTACATTTCCCAAGAGAAGGAGACATGCCATGTCATACAGGGCCCCAGGGGGAAGTATTGGATAGCCAAGAGGCAGGAGACAAGAGCCAAGAGAAGGCCAAGGCCAAAGCCTTCATGGGGTCTCCCATGGGAAAGGCAGAGTAAACCATTCAGGATTGACTCGTTTGTATAATTCTGGCAGCTGTAGTGGCAGAGGGGCTGTCCCTGGTTGTCTGGTCACCCAGCCCTGGCCTGATATGGGTCGGAGTGGATGAGAGTCAGGTGGGAGTGTGGCCTTGGATTGGCTGCTCTGCACGGGACAGGCACGTTCCAATAAGCTGTCCACCGCCCCCAGGAATTAACGTGTCTCAGGAAGAGCAATGTCTCCGGGGTCTGTAAGGCTCCTGAGAGATGTCAAACTATCAGAAGACACACAAAATAGAAATCTCTAACTAGAACAGCTAGTACCTGAAGGCATACCCAACACAGGGCCTGGCTCGGAGTAAGCAGTAAGCATTTGATAGTTGCTCTTTTGATTATTATAATAGTTGATATTATTAATCAAAGAGGGGTGGGAAAGGCTGTTAAAGGAATGTAGAAAGATCTGATTAGGTGTTTATTTCATTCCTAAATAAAGCCATATAACTTATGATAGCATTGCTATGTAGAGCAACTCCTCAGCATAAAACAATATTCTCTTTATCAACCAAATGGTTCAGTTTGCACTCTTAGGTTTCCTTTGGTCATCACTGTAGGTCCTAAGTGATGGGATTTGTCCCATCATTCTTAGGAATTGGGACAAATTCTGATTTGGATTACAAATCAGATTGTATTTGGGATTTGTCTGATTACTTGCTTGCAAGAACCTCTTTTTGGAGGTTGCACATGTACTATCAAATTCATAACAGATGGGTGATGCAGTCAAATATAGTTACGTGGAACGTGCATGGTATTTTCTTATCACTGTATTGCTTATTACCCTTAACCCCAGCCTAGCCCTCACCCTCTACTTACTCCCTATATTCCAGCTTCTCTAAGTTTAAAAACCATCAGAAAAATAGTCTTTAATGATTTCAAATGTTGTTGACTTTCTCCATCAGGCACAGAATTTTTCTTGGCTGCCAGGCTCACTGCCTCCTCATTGCAAATTTATCATGAGCACCGTCTCCTCCAGCCTGTCCTACAAGTCGCTGTGTGCCCGCCTGGATGTGAAGACAGTGGAGCTCCTTAGTGTAGGAGATGAAGAAGTGAAACTAAACATCTTTAGACAGCATCTCTTTGTTCCCAACAAAGACCCCCTCTGACAGAGCAAATACACTTTGAGGAAGAAACCAAACCTGAATCCTTTAAAACTCACAATCCTGGCAAACGAACTGAGAGAATGTAGAATCTACTGAAATGAGTATCAGTGTCTGAAGGAGTACTTGGAGGTGGTCTCCATTCAGGAGCTCTGGGAATTGATTCTGAAACGCTGGATTGAAGACTATAGCTGGACTTTTACGCCAAAAAGGGCCAATTCAGACATGGCGGCTTCAGGAGAAGGTAAGCCTTGGCCAGTATTGACAGCCTGCTGGAGTCCACAGGGAGAAAGATGTATGGTAGACCACCCAGAGGAGGGGGGGGCTTAAGGGTAAGGTTATCAGAGAAAATACAGGATATCCAGCTAAGCTGTGATTTCAGATAAAGAACAAATAATCTTTTAGTGAAAGTATGCCTCAGTTATTGCATGGGAGATACTTATACTAAAAATTAGTTGATAAATAATTTTATTAGAAGTGTATCCCAAATTCTTGCATGGGCTATACTTATACCAAAAATTAATTTGTTGTTTACCTGAAATTCAAATTTAACTGCATACTCTGTGTTTTTATTTGCTAAATCCAACAACCCTGTCTAGGGAGCTCTGTGTTGACTGTAAAGAGAACAGTATGAGGCACATTTTTCAGGGGCCAAGAGATGGACCTTCATTACTTCTTCTTTTTTAAAGTTTTTTTTTTAAAAAGATTTTATTTAAAAAAAAGATTTTATTTATTCATGAGAGATACAGAGAGAGAGGCACAGGCACAGGCGGAGGGAGAAGCAGGCTCCCTGTGGGGAGCCCAATGTGGGACTCGATCCCAGGACCCCAGGATTACGCCCTGAGCCAAAGGCGGACGCTCAACCATTGAGTCCCCCAGGTGCCCCTTTTTAAAAGATTTTATTTATTTATGAGCAAGACAGAGAACGAGAGAGGGGGAGGAACAGAAGGAGAGGGGCCAGCAGACTCTGCACTGGGCCCAGATCCCCACACAGGGCTAGATCTCAAGGCTGAGATCATGACTTGCGCAGGAACCAAGAGTTGGACGCCTAACTGACTGAGCCACCCAGGCGCCCCTGCTTTTATTATTTCTATAACTCAATTCTTTTGAGCCTATAGTTCAAGTGATGGCAGAAGCTAATTCAGTTAATCTAGGTTTATTTCATCAATTTAGCTTGTTTTCAGACAACTCAGGGTGTTTTTCAGGCAAGGGAGGACTTGTGTCCTTCTTGTGTCTCTTCTGGGTTGAGCTCAAATCTAAGGGCCTTGATGTTGGGTGTCCTTGGTTGTCACTGTCCCTGCTGTCTTCCGCCGAGGTGATTATGGCCCCAGATGGTCCACAAATACGATATGCCTCCCTCCAGTTTTGGCATCCACTAGGACGCCCCCGTGTTCCCATCTGGTCCTGGGTTGTTCTGTCTCTGCTGCCACCTGCCGCCACTTTCCCTCATCCTAGTGAGGAGGCTCTCCTCTGCTAACGTTTGTACCCTCTGGAGCCTACAGTCTCGGGGGCACACAGTGTTCCTGACAGAGAGCATCGGTTGCCCACTGCACCCTTGGAGATCCTGGCCCTTGGGGCTCCCCACAGCGATTTCTACTGCCTGGTCCTGGGGGCCTCAGGAGAGCTGCAGAGCTGCTAGCTTCCAGGCTCCCAATGGAAGCAGAGTGAAGGCCTCTGTCTGTTTGGTGCCAGGTGCATCCGTGCGGTGGGTGCTCTGTGCCCACTCACAGCCGGGGTTCAGGGACGGGCATGGCCCCTCCATAGAAACCCTTCTGAGCAGCTTTGTTGCTCTCTCGCCTCCCTGTCCCTCCCTCCTCTCTTGCTTCTGTCTTCCTCAGCTCATCCTCTGTCTGAGTCTGTTGTTTGTGGTTAAGAGATTTATTCCACTGGTGGTGAGGAGTCCATCCTTTGATATTCAAAAGCCCATCTTTTGAGAAGGAAAGTTTGTTCTCAAAGCCATTGTCTCTGCAATGAGCTTCAAAAGGCTTGTATGCCCAGGGTCACTTCATGTTCCTGACTGCTGGAAGCAGCATGGCTGCCAGAGCTCCAGCCATTGCATTTCAGGCAAGAGGAAGGATGAAGAGAAAAAGAAGGGCTTGCATTTTCTTTTAAGGAGCTTCCCCAGGTTTCCACCAACGTCTCCACTATGTCCCCATAACTTTGTCATTTGGCCACAGCTAGACACAAAGGAAGCTGACAAATAGAGGTTTCAACAGGTGTGTTGCTACCATATGGGCATGAATGAAACGCATGGCTACCCCTGGCAGTTGGTTTTTTGGCCCTGCCATTTCTAGAAGCCTCCATCTTCATTGTTTTGAGAGCCAGTGCCGAATGAATCTCAGTGTCTCGTGTTTGCCTGCAGTGGAATCGGGATCTGGAGGGCACAGCACAGGGCAGGAGGTCTGAGATGCCCACAGGTGAACTGAGGTCATGGTAGGAGAGTGACCTCACCGCATCCTGTCCTTACCTCACTCCCAGGCCTGTGTGCTGTTTGACGGAGTCTACCTTTCCCTCTGGCCATCGCCATGACTTCTGTTAAAAACAGTTTCTCATTCAGAGCAAGGACTTTAGAATCTGACAGAACTGGCATGACCTTGTCAAAGGGGCTTAACTTTCTAAGACTCAAGTTTCTTACCTGCAAGCTGGTGATGGTCACAAGTGCTGACCTCGAGGGTATTAGGAATGCTAAGTGTGCCTGATGGAGGGTGCTTCATAAGCACTGTGGTGTGTGGTGGCCATGACAGCCCTGTGCCACAATTTCCAGCCTATTCAGCTCCATGGGAAGCATATGCTGTCCCTTTGGTGGTGGTACCCTGTGAGCCATTGTCTGTGGCTCTGGCAGGGTTCAAGATGGTGGCCGGCCTGTCAGTCCCATAGTGAGTGGCCTGGACCGGAAGGTCCGGCCAACCTGTGACAGCATCAGAACCCTTGCTACTTTAAGCCACTGAAACTTTGGGGTCACCTGTCCATGCAGCATAATCTGTCCTGTCCTTACAGAGACTAGCACTGTAGAATGTCAGCCAGTAAGTCTGCCTGTAAGAACTGTGTGCACAGAGGAGGCTGCAGTCCAGCCCTTCCTCACGTTCTCACAATTGGAGGACCAGTGGGACTGAGTCAGAAGGTTTGAGTCCTGCTTTCTCAATCACATGCTAGCCAGAGGCCAGCCACTGGGTCGCTCTGGTTTTAAATCATTTTGTTTGTCACTTGGGGATTGTATCAAGTATGGTCTACAGACAACAGGACCAACAGGATTATATCTCTGTGCATCTGTGTGTGTGTGTTTATATCTCTCTAAAGATCTCTGGGAAAAGGTCATGAGGGCTTTGCTTACATGATTATGAAGATTGGGAAGTCCCAGGATCTTTCTAGAAGCTGGAGACCCAGGAAAACTATTGGTAGAGTTCTGGTCCAAGTCCAAAGACCTGAGAGCTGGGGGGGGGGGGGGGGCGGCAGGGGCGATGCTCCAAGTTCTAGTATGAGTCTGAGGGTCTGAGACTCAGAAGTGCTGAGAAGTCAGGGACTCAGCTCCAGCACAGAGAAAATTCACCTTCTCTGCCTTTTCTCTGTTCTGGTCCTGGGCAGATTGGGTGATGTCCATGTGCATCGGTGAGGGTGATCGTTACTCAGTCCACCCATTCAAATGCTAGTCTCTTCAGAGATACCCTCACAGACACACCCTGAAATACTACTTAACCAGCTCTCTGGGCATCCCTCAGCCCAGTACAGCTGACCTGTAAAATCACGTGGGAAAAATCACAGATCTTCATATCTCACGAGGTTATTTTGTAAAAAGATAAACTCTGTTTTCCATGACAATTTTTTATGTACTTTAAGCTTTGTGTTTAATACTCTAAATCTTGGAGGCAGGATAATATTTGTTCCAGTTCTTTTCTCTCCCATTCCCCAACCCCCTTCCCTATTTATGGCCTACAAAAATGCCCTCACTGTACCCGGTGGAAGAGGGGAGTCTCCTCCTTCCGTGGGTTTTCAAAGTGCTCCACTGCCACCTGCATGAGGCTGCACATTGTAGGTCAGCTAGCACGAAGTCTCTACAGCCTGGAAAGCATTTCAGTGGAAATACAGGATGGTTATGTGAACAACAGGCTCCCATTTTATTACAGCTCCTGTGACCAGCTGGGCTTGGTGGGGCATCCCACAGAGCGTACCATTCATCTTGCAAGAAAAAGCATCAAGCAGAAATTTAAGAATACTTCTATTTTACCTTTCAAGAGCAGGTATCTCTAAGCATTTAATGCAATAAAACCCCTTTGCTTTTAAGAAGCTCATTTCTGGTGGTATGATCTGTTGGAATCACTTCTCTGGCAGTGAAAACATAGTAATCTTGACCATAGCATTCAATTTGTCATTAGTCTGCTCAGCTTCCCCTTGGCCTATGTGAGACCCAAGTGCAAACTAACTTCTCCCAAATGTGTTCCCTCAAATATTTGAAAGTGCTTATTTAAGTGGTAACCACGAGGCGTATTTAAAATAGAAAAAAAGTAGGTTACAAATACTTCTTTGGGGGCTGGGGAGATGGCAAGAAAAATGAGTGGGCTCCCTAGCTTTTCAAAATCTGGGCCAGTGGTCGTAACTGTAACAAATTCTTTGGTAAACTCCAAGGACTTACAAGAAGATACATTTTTAATATTCCAGGGTCTTTTCCAAGCTGCCTTTTTATCGTGTCTAATTATGGCCACAGATATGATCTGCTATCATGTTTTCATCCTAAAGTCAGACGCATTCCACTGTCCTTGATTATTCAATAGGTGTGATCACTCCTGTCAGAGAAAGTAGTCCATACATCTTTGAGAATCCAACAAACCACAGGAAAACACATTTCCACCGAATCTTAGTCCGATACTTTCAACGGCAAACCACTTTCTGGAGAGTGTACGAGGAACTGCCCTGGCATATGAAGATGAGCGGCTCCTGGGGGACTTGTGCAGCTTTCTCTCAAGTCCTAGGTAAGGCTCGTCCTTCTTATGTGGAGTTGGGGCCAATTTTGTTCTTCCCCTCCTAAGCGCTGTGTTTATACCCACGAATCCCTTAAGCCATGAGTATTCGTTCCTTTACTCCTTCCACCACCTGCCAGTTTGTAGGCAGGGGCCCCTTATGTGGCTCCACTCCTGTGGCTCATGGGTTCTCAGTATTGTCCCATTTGACCTTCCGACTGCAGTGTTCTTTTCCTTCTTGACTTTGCATGGATTCCTTTCAAAGTGAGGAGGATTCCAGAGACAGGAGGACTCGTAGCTGGGGAGGATAAAGAACAGCTCCATGTTCTCCGGCTAGACCCTCTCAATTTCCTTCCTTCCTTTTTTTTCTTCTCCTCTCCGTACCCACCCCTGCTTCCTTCCTGTCCTCTTGTGCCTGCTCAGCGAATGTGTGTCATCGACTCACCCTGAATCCCAGCTCGTGTGGGCTCCGGGGGTGCAAGAGTGAATGAGGTACAGCTGGCTCTAGCAGGGAGCGCAGGTGGAGCCAGAGACAGCTGCACACGGGGTCAGGGCTTCCCCAGAGTAGAGATGTGCAGCTGCCAAGCCTGGCAGGTTTGGGGATCCTGCCAGAGGAGGGGGACTCCTGGCAGAGGAGTGGCAATGGCTTTGATGGCTTAACAGTGACAGTCTGACATTTGCCTGGTGACCTACCAAAGAAAGATGTGGTGGTTAAGGTGTTTCTGAATAGGCTGATGGAATGGGGTGAATAGAAGAATAGCTTCCTTCAAGGCACAAAACTCTGAAATGACTCACGTTAATACATTGCATTGCAAGCATCACAGACTTCATATCAAAGATCCAAAACTCAAGCTTCTGGACAAGGCTGCACCTCATCCACTACTGGAACATGTTATCAGAAGTTGGCTATGATGCTGCTGGGGCTTATGTGTTCACAGTGTCTAAGATTAAAGCCGACAGGTGCCATAAGGCGAGGAGGAGGAGATGTTCGCTCTCAGGTACAGTGAATCACTATGCGTTGATGGTCCACTTTGCTGGGATGTACTGTGGCTAAGAGTCCCTGTTCTCCTGTTTCCCCACGGGGTTCTGGTCTTTCCCTTAGACCTCCCCGAGGTCCCCTCCCACAGCTTAGGGCCATAATTTCTGAAGATAAGGAAGGAGAATAAGTGTTAGTTTTGAGGTGGCTCCTCTTTCTCTCCTGCTGCATCTGTTGCCTGAGGCCCTGTCCTTAGCCACACTCCCGACATCATTCTCCTTGATCTGTATGTCTGGCCTTGACCTCCTTTTGGAGCATCGGAGCACGTGCTCCGCACTTCAGTACCAGCAGGACTGTCACTCCATCAGCGACTTTCCCGAGTGACCAGTTGACACTTCAAATGAAATAGATGCAAAACCTGAATTATTTCAGATATTCCCTCCAAATGAGTTTCCTTCTGTGTTCCCTCTATCCTAAGACCCCCCCCCCCCCTGGGGCCCCTCACTCAGTCCTGGAAACATGCACTTACTGTCAAGGGTGGCCCCCATCTGAACTGCCACATCTGCTTGCTGGCTTGGGTTTGGACAGCACTTTGGTCAGTACTTCTCCTCTGAGTTCTCCATAGCAGGCCTCCTTGCTGTCTATCCTGCTCCCCATATTTCCTGGCTTATTAGGCAGTAATAACATTCATTAATTCTTTCAGCAAATAGTAACTGTGCACCTTCCCGGGCCTATGGACTCACTGGTTGCTGCCCACATACCAGTGAACTAAGCAAACTAATTCAAAACCAGTTCAAGGGGATCCCTGGGTGGCGCAGCGGTTTAGCACCTGCCTTTGGCCCAGGGCACGATCCTGGAGACCCGGGATCGAATCCCACGTCGGGATCCTGGTGCATGGAGCCTGCTTCTCCCTCTGCCTGTGTCTCTGCCTCTCTCTCTCTGTGTGTGACTATCATAAATAAATAAAAATAAAAAAATTAAAAAAAAACAGTTCAAAAATGAATCCCTGCCCTCACATTTTACCATGTAATGATCATAATAACAGATTCTGAGCATTTGGCATGTGCCAGGCTCTAACTTCAGAACTTTATATGTATGTATTTTGTTTAATTCTAATAAAATCTCTATAAGATGACTAATATCTTCGTTGAAATGAGGGAAACTGAGTGTTGGAAAGGTGAAGTAAGTTGCCCAAGATCTCCCACATAGTTAGGAATGGATTTGGGCTATGTCAGTCCTGTATCCCTTTTGGTCCTTAACCATGTAGTCTTTACCTGTATTGTGTGTTTGTTTGTTTTTAAAAGATTTTATTTATTTGAGAGAGAAAAAGGGAGTGCACACAGGAGAAGAGGGCAGGGCAGAGGGAGAGGGAGAAAGAATCTCCAGCAGACTCCACGCTGAGCGCAGAGCCCGATGTGGGCCTCAGTTTCCCGAGCCAAGATCAGGAGTCGGACACTTAGCTGACTGAACCCCCCAGGCACCCGCTTTTACCTGTATCCTTCTTGCCATGTATGAATTATGTAATTTTGGAGTTTCCCTGATCCACTCATCAACCAATGTAGGAGGACCCAGTGCATCCTTAATTGTATCAGCGCTTAGGGACGTGGGGTGTGGGCAGGTGCGGGGGAGGCGTGGGGTCTACCCCCAGGGATTGGGGTGTGGGCAGGTGGGGGAGGCGTGGGGTCTGTTCTTAGGGACGCAAGACATGGGCAGGTGGGGGGAGGCGTGGGGTCTGTGTTTAGGGACATGGGGCGTGGGCAGGTTGGGGGAGGCATGAGGTCTACGCTTAGGGACATGGGTTCTGCGCTTAGGGATGTGGGGTGTGGGCAGGTGGGGGGAGGTGTGGGGTCCATGCTTAGGGACTGGGGCTTGGGCAGGTTGTGGGGGGGCTGGGGGAAGCACCATTTGTCATAGGAAGGGGGAAGCCAACCACAGATGAGCCTTCTAGGGTGGGGCGAATGTCCCTCCTGGTGATGTGTGCTGCTTGTCATACGTGGTTGTTGTGGCGATGAAAGGGGCTGGGGGCTGGGGTGGGCAGGGGGAAAGCACCTAACAACACAGCGTGTGAGGGTTTTTTGGCTGCAAGTGAGCCTAGTCAGAATGTGGCCCCTTGAATGGGCCGGAGACATGTGTAGACCTCTGTGCTGACTTGCAAGCCTGCTGCGGTCTGAGTGTCTGCGGGCTGGTCGCTGCCCACTCTGGGCCCTGGGGGCTCCTCATCAGGGAGTCCTGGCCCCCAGCCGTGGTTTGACAGCTTCCATCCTCCTCACGTCCAGTCATGGGCACGTCCTGCAGATCTTATTTCCATGCAGCCTCGCACATCATCTCCATCAGAGCCAGCAGGCTCTTGTGGCCTGTTGTCTTATCTCTACCTTGGCTGGCAGAGTCACCCTATGGCCATCTGGGGGTGGGGGCTCCCTGGAGTCCTCCCGGGGGCTGTGTAGGTTCACTGCCCCCGCCCCCCCCCCCGCCTTAGGGTTGCTGAAACGTAGAAGTCACAAAGTCACAAGACAGACTGCTTGTCACCAAAGCAATAGAAGATTCATTGGAACAGGTTTGATTTCGGCAGGATCCTGTGTGACAATCCTGGGAGGCATCCCAGTGGCCTGGCTGGCTGTTAGGCCAAGTGTGTGGTCACATTGTCACGAGACAGGCTGTGCTCCTAGGGTGCTGCCCCAGGGCAAGGCCCACAGACTGGAACGTGCTTTCATAGGAATTGTTTTTTTTTTTTTATAAATTAATTTTTATTGGTGTTCAATTTACCAACATACAGAATAACACCCAGTGCTCATCCCGTCAAGTGTCCCCCTCAGTGCCCGTCACCCATTCACCCCCACCCCCCGCCCTCCTCCCCTTCCACCACCCCAAGTTCGTTTCCCAGAGTTAGGAGTCTTTATGTTCTGTCTCCCTTTCTGATATTTCCCACACATTTCTTCTCCCTTCCCTTCTATTCCCTTTCACTATTATTCATATTCCCCAAATGAATGAGAACATACACTGCCTGTCCTTCTCCGATTGACTTACTTCCCTCAGCATAGTACCCTCCAGTTCCATCCACATTGAAGCAAATGGTGGGTATTTGTCGTTTCTAATGGCTTAGTAATATTCCATTGTATACATAAACCACATCTTCTTTATCCATTCATCCTTCGATGGACACCGAGGCTCCCTCCACAGTTTGGCTATTGTGGACATGGCTGCTAGAAACATCGGGGTGCAGGTGTCCCGGCGTTTCATTGCATCTGAATCTTTGGGGTAAATCCCTAACAGTGCAATTGCTGGGTCGTAGGGCAGGTCTATTTTTAACTCTTTGAGGAACCTCCACACAGTTTTCCAGAGTGGCTGCACCAGTTCACATTCCCACCAACAGTGCAAGAGGGTTCCCTTTTCTCCGCATCCTCTCCAACATTTGTGGTTTCCTGCCTTGTTAATTCTCCCCATTCTCACTGGTGTGAGGTGGTATCTCATTGTGGTCTTGACCTGCATTTCCCTGATGGCAAGTGATGCAGAGCATTTTCTCATGTGCATGTTGGCCATGTCTATGTCTTCCTGTATGAGATTTCTCTTCATGTCTTTTGCCCATTTCATGATTGGATTGTTTGTTTCTTTGCTGTTGAGTTTAATAAGTTCTTTATAGATTTTGGAAACTAGCCCTTTATCTGATATGTTATTTGCAAATATCTTCTCCCATTCTGTAGGTTGTCTTTGAGTTTTGTTGACTGTATCCTTTGCTGTGTAAAAGCTTCTTATCTTGATGAAGTCCCAATAGTTCATTTTTGCTTTTGTTTCTTTTGCCTTCGTGGATGTATCTTGCAAGAAGTTACTGTGGCCAAGTTCAAAAAGGGTGTTGCCTGAGTTCTCCTCTAGGATTTTGATGGAATCTTGTCTCACATTTAGATCTTTCATCCATTTTGAGTTTATCTTTGTGTATGGTGCAAGAGAGTGGTCTAGTTTCATTCTTCTGCATGTGGATGACCAATTTTCCCAGCACCATTTATTGAAGAGACTGTCTTTCTTCCAGTGGATAATCTTTCCTCCTTTATCGAATATTAGTTGACCATAAAGTTCAGGGTCCACTTCTGGGTTCTCTATTCTGTTCCATTGATCTATGTGTCCCCAGGAATTGTTTTGCAGACTGCGATCTCGGGGGTGCTTGCTAGCTCACCCCTGTTCCTTCCTAATAAACAGGTGTGAGCAGGCAGGCTTGCCCTGGTACCTTCTGACCGTGCTTCCTGAGTGCCTGCACTGTGCTGTGGAGGACAGGGTGGGTAGGCTCCCTGCTGGGTGGAGCTCATGCTGGGGTGCAAGCCCAGGCGTGAGACTGTAACTGCGCAGCTCAAGGCTGGGAGCTCAGAGCCAGGTCAGGTCCCCGCAGAGCCTGGGGTTTGGCCCCCCCTGGTGGCAATGACGAGAACCGGAGCCCTAACTCATTAGGTCGGTGGAGAAGATGCCGCTTCTCCTGCAGATGCCTGCTTGCGGGCCTGCCTGCGCACCTGCCGCCTGGGTCTGTCCCCTTGCGGGATGCGTCCAGGCCGGGTACATCTCCCTGTGATGGCCAGTAGGAGGTCTCTGAGCCTGGGCAACCTCAATGGTCGGGCCAGTTTTTATAGATCATCTGGGACTTGATAAACTTGTTTTTGGTTGGAGTCCTGGATCACATCAAAGTGGAGAAAATCCATTTCTGGCTGCAGTTGCATTTTTAGAGGAAGTCAAACATCAAAAGAGACAGGCTGAAAACCTGCATGTCCCCATCCTGACCGATGGTAGGCTACCCTTCAGGTGGCAGGTGTGGCAGGTTGTGGACAATCATTTCTCTTTTAAAGGCAGAGGGTAAATGCACTGCAGTACAGGATGTCTGGAGACTGTGGCAAACAGGACAACATCAGCTTTTCATGACTAATCTGATGTGTTACCCTTGATACCTTTGGAAACTTCTCAATATTTTAGATAGATGAAACAAAATTGTTTATTAAAAACAATTTTTAAAATAGCTCTACAGAAAAATTAAAAGAACAAAAGATGCAATTTACAATGGCCACAGAAAGTATGAAGTATCTAAGAATAGGTGTAACAAGAAATGTGTAAGATATCTGTTTTTTTAAAAAGCTTTAGAATTATAGAAAATAAAATTTTAGTATATAGGGAGATGTACCATATTCTTGGATGGGGCAACTCAAGGTTGTAAAGCTTATCAGTTCTTCCTCAATTGACTTATATACATAAGACAATTCTAATTGAGATCCCAATGGGATTAAAACATTTCAAAATGATTTTAAAATTCTTGGAGAAAGAAATATGTGAGAATGAGAGTTTAAATAATGAGAGCAATTTTAGAAAAAAAATTTATTTATTTATTCATGAGAGACACACAGAAAGAGAGAGAGAGAGGGGGGCAGAGACACAGGCAGAATAAGAAGCGGACTCCCTGCAGGGAGCCCCACGTGGGACTCCATCAGGATCCCAGGATCATGACCTGCACCAAAGGCAGGTGCTTCACCGGCCGAGCCCCCCAGACACCCTCTACCCCCTCAGTTCTCATGCCTACCTTAGGTGCCTTTGCCTGGATGGCCGCTGAGGACAAGAGTCTTGGACTCTGGCCCTTAGCGCACTCTCTCCCTTGGCCCTGACTTAGTTTTTGCTTTTGGACTCCAAGCACTGTATGTGTCAGAGCCCTCTGGCCTCTCTGCTGTGCTGAGGGCTGCAGCCTCATCTACTATGCTTGGTGTTGAGAGCCAACAATGCTGCCTGATGGGCAGCAAGTGCTCAATAAGTGTTTATTCTGTGCACAAATGGCGATCCCTGGAGAAGCTGGCAGAAAGAAGGCAGGAGTGTATTCCGTGTCCAGAACAGCAGAGGGAGAACAAGGGATGTCCTTGTGTCAAATACATTAGATGCAATGCTTTGAGATGAGGCAATAGTGAAATGTCAGATGCTGGAATATTGGGGAAGAAAAAGTCTGAAAGTGATGGCTTTGCAGTACCATGTATGGAATCTTCAAGTTCTAGAATTTTGTATAACACACACACACACACACACACACACACACACCCTGTATGTTCCTTATTCGTTTTTTTTTTTTTTTTTTAACATTTTATTCTTTCTGTTAAAGCCAGTAATTCAAGATAGTTACAACAGAGGGCAGAACTGTGCAAGTTATTTTAAACGCCTGTTTACTCTTGCCTGAAAATCATCCCCAATACAAACTCCTGAAGTATATGGACTGTGCTATAGAAAGAACTCTTTTGTACTCTAGTTTTCAACATTTACCTGTCAAGATTATTTAAAAGCATTATTTTTCATGTCATTGTGTGAAATACCTGGTGATACATGTAGGCACTAATAAAAGCCAAGTGCTAATCTTTGAGGAACACTGAAATGTGGCTGATGTCTTTATAAGTCCTATGTCAAGATTAGGTGATGGCTGTTCTTTATTCCTTCCCAAATATGCTTCACCTTTCTTTCCTATCTAGTGCTGGAATGCAGGCTTTTTGAGGTCACCACCATTAACAAATGCCGATTAATGTTCTTTATCGGGAAATTTCTGAAGCTTAGAGGCAAGACCAAGGAAGCAGAAGGGCTATTCTTGAGCATCAAGAACATGCTAGCACAGGTAAAGTGGAAAATCATTTTAAATCCTTCAAGTGCCCTTCCTTTTGTGTTAGATATTTTCAGATATCATTTACCTTTGTTCCTTTATAATCTCATCCACAAAGAGAGGAGTTAATGATAAATAACAAATGATAAATCAATTATGTTAATCAGAGAGGAAGCCGACTTTAATCCATACCCTGAACCGTAGATTAGTGTTGACAAGTAGTAGATAGATGGGATCCAAGAGGTGAAATTTTTTGGGGAAAAAAAGGGAATGTTGATAAAGCAACCCCCCCCCCCCAGAAAAAAAAGAATAGAACAGTGGGTTGAAAGAACTAACAAAAGACTGGTTAAGGCCTTGGTTATGGTTTTAATTGGTTGTAATTTTCACAAAAATGTTGGGAAAAGTTGATTATCTTGTCTCAATAGTGATTGACTTTTTCTGAAATATTACGTTTTGGCTTTGCTGAATACAATGAAAATTTTGCTCATAATACATAACTAACTACGCATACGAGGACATTTAACTGGCCTTTAAAAAATATAAATTTTCCTTATTTCAGTAGCATGTGTAGACCAAGAGTAGTATAACTAACCAGAGACAAAGCTGTTTTTATTTTAAAACAAAGACCTTCAAATTTTTCTGAAACATTGCCTCTGCCCCAGAAAGCATTCTATCTAAAGAGGTTAATAAGACTTAACATGGCAAGTCTCCTTGTGGCAGAGATCATGCTTGGTCACCAATGTTTATGTCCTCCGTGGCATATTACAACCTACAGGTGCCTAATAAGTGAATTGGTGGATCATTTTGAATTTGCAGATACTCCGCGTCCTTAGAAGGCAGCACAGAGGTGTGAGCAGGGCACTGCGTGTTTTCTGGCAGGCCAGGTTTGAAGTGCTTTGGCCCTTGCTGCTGTGTGAGCTCGGCAAGGGTTCTGACCTCTCTGAGTGTTGAGGATCCCAGACCTGGCTCCAGGGGTTGTTAACAGGCTCAGGAAAGAAAGGACGTAGAGCACCCCTCAGCCCGTGTGGCACACAGTGAGGTGCAAGACCTGGAGGCTGTTTGTTACTGCTGGCTGTGGGGGCAAGGTACCTGGGGCCTTGCTTCCTCACAGTAGGGCAGCTTGATTTCAGCGACCCTGAGCTCTTCCATCTTCCCAGGAGTGGAGTCCAGCGGTTCTCTGTTATCCTACTGTAATTCTGGAAGTTCCCCTGAGCCCCCAGTTTTTTTCTTGTGAGGTCCAGGTGTTCATCCCTGACAAGTGTCTGCATGGGGGGAGCACCAGTTATTTTCTGAGACTGTCACTGAATTCACGTAGTCATTCACTCATTCACCCACCCCGTGGACGCTGACTGAGGGCCTTGCCTGCCCGAGCGCTGTGCCAGGAGTTGGGATGCTGGCAGGAGTGAGGCAGGCATGCTCTCTGTCTGAAAGGAGCTCCCTGTGTGGCCAGAAGCCGCTGAGAACATGCAGAGCAGCAAGGGAGCGTGGCCCGTGCGATACACGGTCACGGTCGTGGAAGGTTCGACGGCTTTGCAGGAGGCGCGCCAGAGCTGGACACTTGAGGGGAATTTCTGTCCCTGAGGCTCCTTTAGGAGTCTTCAGTCTCAGGTTCTGTTCTCAAAGTATTTTGCATCAGTGGTTCGGGACTAGCCACCATGGGGACTGGTCTGGGAGTATCCTGGGGCCCTGGAGGTACTTCCCAAAGACACTTCTGAAGCTACTTTGGCGATAACGGCTTCTCTGAAACAGGTGCCTGTGGCTCTTGACCTGGTTACTCGTGACATACGCGTCTGGCATGTGCAGCACATTCAGCTCGGGTTGTTGCAGGAGTTGCAGGCCGTAGTTTTCTGCAGGGAGGCAGTTGTGCTCCCCAGGAGGCCGTGGCCACAGGGGACACAGTCGGATGCTCACGACCCGGGGACAGGGGTACCGCCGCACACCCTGTGTGGGGAGGACCCCTCTCCATCCAGTGGCATGGTGCTCAGGCTGGGGAGCTGATTGCGCCCAAGCGCTTGTTGGGAGCATGGGTGTCGCTGCCTGCCACACGGGTGGGGTGCTGAAGGCAGATGATTTTGCGAAAGGGCCTGTGGTTACGAGTCAGAAACCTCCTCATGAAGGACAAGGCCCAGAGCAGAGCCCTAGAGGCGGGGCACCCCCGGCCTCCCCCATGCAAGTCACGCAGGCTTTGGACACTGATTGAACCTGGGGAGCCTTAGTTTCCCCACCTGCAGTGGAGGAGCAGTGGCCCCTTGTTTTGTGGCACGTCTGTAAAGACCCAAGACGTCACGTGCAGCAAGCACGCAGCTCCGTACGCGGCAGCTGGTGCGACTGCGGACAGTGACCAAGGAAGACCCCTTCCTGTCCTGAGCACTGCTGACCAAGCCCGTGAAGCTCTACTTGGGTGCGGGGTCCTGCTGCAGCAGGGAACAGCAGGGGACAGCCCGGAGGCAGCAGGGGACAGTCCAAAATTCCAGGGATGACAGCTGTGCCCTGGGGGGAAGCTTGACAATGTGCCTGCATGCCCAGCTGTGTACCCCTGGCCCCAGGGCAGTGACACCCAGGCTGCAGGGCGGTGCGGGGCTAGGGTGCTAGCTTTCCTCCCTCCGGGCTTCTGCCCTCCTTGGCCTGGCTGGGGATACGGCCCGGCTGCACCTGAGTCTGACAGGTGTGGGGAATCCGGAGGGGAACAGGAGGGACCCTGAACGTTCTCTGTCCTGAGTCAGCAGGTGGGAAAGGAGGTGCGGGCGGCACCGTCAGCTGCTGGGGGCCTGGAAGCCCATGGGGAGCACACCCCTGAGTGACACGGGGGCTTGTTCACACTTGGAGGGATCCAGGGAGGAGGGGCATGTGAGTGCATGAGGGACAGAAGATTCCCCCCTGAACCAAGGAGGGTGTGCTACTCAGGGGGCTGCACAGACAAAGACTGCTGAGTGGAGGTCAGTGGTGACCCCCAGACATGGAAGGGGTGGATGCGGGGGTGCTGAACTGTGGGGCATTTGGAGTTGACTGTGTGATGCTGACAGGGAGGACAGCACGTACTGAGACTAGTCTGAGAAGCTTGTTGGTGATAACATGGCTTCAGGTGAGGTTTGATCCAGGACATGTATGTATGTGTGGAACAGGAAAGGAGCTGGGAAGATGGGCAGACTGGAGATGCCAGCGGGGACTCTGTGAGGGGGACAGGACTTGGAAGGCCTAGGGAGGGACGGGTCCTTGAAAAGGAGGCTGGGCATCCCTTCCACTGAGACACGCAGGAGGAAAGAAAATGGGTGAAAACACTGTGAACTTGAAATTCAAAAGAAAAGTGTGAATGAGGTATACCAGACTGTAATCTCCTAGGATCCATCCCCCCTTTCATGGTAAGTGATGTGCCCCTCTCCCGAATGGTTAGCTCAGTGAATGGTTGGAAAAAAGCCCACATTTCTCAGCTTTCCTTGGAACTGGAAATGAGCACGTGCCTAAGTGTGGGCTGGCCAGGGTAAGTGGGAATGGTGTGGACAGCTTCTAAAGGGTTTTCATGAAGCGAAGAGTCTGATCCCCTTCTCTTTCCTCCTTTCTGCTGGTGGGATTGTGGATATCATGGCCAGAGATGGAACAGTCATTTTGCAACAGGAAGTATCCTTGGGAATGGAGGTCAGGCAAGGTCAAGCCACAAGGTAAAAGGAATCTGAGTCTCTGACATTGTGGTGTGTCTGCAACTCTGGGCCACCCATTTCCTGACTGCTGCATAAGAGAGAAATCAAGTCACTGTTTTTGTTTTGTTCTATTTTAAATATTTTGTTATTTAGTAGAGAGAGAAGAGAGAAAGCAGCAAGGGTGGTGGCGAGGGCCAGAGGGAGAAGCAGGCTCCAGAAGGGACCAGAAGTGGGGCTGGATCCCAGGAGCCCAGGACCATGACCTGAGCTGAAGGCTGACCCTTAACAGACCCAGCCACCCAGGGACCCCTCAAATCATTATTAACCTGGGTTTTCTGTGACTTGCAGCCCATCATGATGCGGGCCAGTATCTGGGGGCAGTCTTTCAGGGGTTTGTCATGCAGTCAGCCTGGAGTCTGTCTCTGAAGTGGGGTGGGAAGGATGAGGCCTGGGCCAGCTGCTGAGAAGGGTCACCTTTATAGGTCCATATGAGGGGTGCACGATGGAGCGAGAGGCCTATGGCCCCGGGACCCCTAGCACAGCTGGTTGCCTCCAGGGCTGCAAGCTGACCTTTTTCCCAGTCCCTTCCTGGGCTGTGCCTGCACCAAGCTGCGGGGGTCAGTGTGGCTTGGGGAAGCACTTTGAGCAGGTGCAGGGGAGCGGAATTCACACCCAGGAGCCTGGCGCAGTCAGGCCTCTGCTGGGCAGGCACCAGGCTGTGGAGGAGCCAGCGAGGATGATCGCTCATTCGAGTAGGGCCAAACCCATGCACAGATGTTTTTGTTGATGTCATGTTTTCTTTTTAGTTTTAGAATTTATTTATTTATATGAGAGAAAGAGAGGGAGAGAGAGAGAAAGCACGAGGGGGCAGAGGCAGAGGGACGAGCAGACTCCGCTGAGCATGAAACCCCACCTGGGACTCAATCCCAGGACCACCTGAGCCAAAGGCAGATGCCTAACTGGCTGAGCCTCCCGGGAGCCCCAATATCACGTTTTCTGACATGAGATGCTAGCAGTAAGATAACTCATCACTGACTCTCATGTCTTATACTGGACTTTTAGAAGATTATACCCAACGGATGTGTTCCCATGTGCTGAAAATGTTTTGGGAGAGGAGTGATTTGGAGTCACGGAGTGTAAGTGCCACCGAACGAAATATGCTGCAGCGGCAAATCCCTAAACAAGTTGTGTACTGTGCTAACAGATGTCTGGTCACCCTTGGATTAAGGGCCACATGGATGGTATTGTTGGGTGTGCATGTGAGCTCTAGAGAGTATATCCCCTGGGAACTTCCACATGTGCACAATGTTGTGTTGTTCTTCAAAAATGTTTACTGCTATGAACTATAGCCTCTGAAAACATTCTCCCCAATTTATTTTTGGTTTACACTGTTTCCCCATAAACGTCTCACAGCATCTTATAAATATTTAAATTCCCTAAGAGAAGAAGGGGTGCAGGCGTGGCTGCTTCTGCGAGGAGGTTGCTGGTGGGCATTGGGCGGCGGTGCCAGCCTGGGGCTGTGTCCCCTCAGGAGGGCATCCTTTCTTTGCAGAGCCAGGCCCTGACACAGGTGCTTCCCACTGTGCAGAATGCCACTGGAGAGCTCTACCTTGAGGTCGGGCTGACCCACGAGGGATTCCAGTGTTTCCAGAAAGCCTGGTCCAACCTCATGGAGTTTTCACCTGGCGACATCAAAGACAATCAAGACGTCGTGAGGCAGAAAGGTTGGCAGTTGGGGCGGGGGCCTGTGTGTGTCAGAGCCGGGCTAGGTGGGTCCCCAGCAGCCCTCATGGGGGCTCTGTGCCCTGCGTCCTGTGGGGGGCATGGGGGTGACCCGTGAGCATCCTCGGGACAGCCCAGCCTCTGGGGACCTTGAAGCAGACTGGGAGGCAGGGAGGCTGGGGCAGGGCAGGCACCTCAGGATGGTGGGAAGGGGGCTGGGGTCTCAGGGTGGGGGGGTGGGAGGGGTGGGGGCCTTCCCACCACTGAGGCCTGCCCCAGGGCTGGATCTCCCCTCCCCGAACTGCATGTCCTCTAGACGCTCCTGAGCCTCCCAGGTCATGTCCTTCATGTCACGAGAGGGAGAAGGAGGGGACAGCTGAGGCCTCCATGGTGAGGGGCTGTGGGAGTGCCCGGCCCCACCGTGCTGCTCAGAGACAGACACAAAGAGTGTTTGATGAGTGAAGCTATTAGGTATTTTTGAAGCACTGACTCACGGTCACACCAAAGCAAAGGATGTGAGACTGACACCATATTTAAATGGCTGCGTTAATTAGCTGCTGTTGCATTGAACAAACCACCCAGAATGCAGCCGCCTGACAATGGCTCCCTGCTCACAGGCCCGCAGAGGGGGGGTCCAGGCCCAGGGGAGCTCAGAGTCAGGCTGGATGGGGCATGGGTCTGAGATGACCCGGTCTCTGGGGCTTCCCGCAGATGTCTGGTGGTCATCCGGCCAAGGTGATGGGGTGCCTGGGCACACATCTGTCACCTCAGGAGGACAGCCTGGCTGATTCCCTCGGCGGGCATGGACTCCAAAGGAGGGCAAGCAGAAGCCTGTACAGGGCACTCACCTAGGCTCACAAGCGGCACAAACCCTCTCGTGTTTCAGTCGGTGGTCACAGCGCATCACCACACTTCGTCCTTGGGCAGAGCAAGGGGCTCCACCCCTTGGTGGAGGAGGTGCAGGCTGGTGGGAGGGGGAGGTTGCTACTGCCAGCTACAGGATCCAAGGCCACCAGCAAGCTCCCCACCCTCCCTAGATCTTATCTGTGAACCCATTTGGATAGTAGCAGTTGTCATTGCTGGATGCATGTTATGTGTAAGGTGCTTTGTACTCAGGAGCTTCCACTCTCAGACTCACCTCACAAAGTGTGGGCGGCCATCTCCACTTTATAGCTGAGAGTCCAGCTGGGCTGCTTGGGCCCTGCAGCCTGTGTGTAACAGCTCCTCAGTGCACAGAAGCCCTGGTGGTTGACATTCCTGGAGCTGTGGTCCTCGGGGCAGCTCCCGTATAGCTGCTGCTGATTCTTCTTTTTAAAGATTTTATCTATTTATTTGAGAGACACAGAGAAAGAGGCAGAGACACAGGCAGAGGGAGAGGCAAGCTCCCTGCAGGGAGCCCAATGCGGGACTCGATCCTGGGACACGAGGGTCACGCCCTGAGCTGAAGGCAGACACTCACCCACTGAGCCCCAAGGTGCCCCTACAGTGTAGCTTCTGAGGCACAGCTGTCATGGGCATTCTGGGGCATCTGTGAGCTGAGGAACCCAGGGTGGGAACCAGGAGGCCTTCAGGAGGGTTTGGGGACTGGCCTTCCAAAGCCAGCAGGACCGTCTAAAGGGCAGAGCTCCAAGGAGCTGGGCAGCCCTTTGCCTGGTACAGACACATGTGACCCTCTACGGAAGTCCAATCAGCGGAAGTGGTGGGGCCCTGCTGGAAAGGGGTGCTTGGGAGTAGACCAGCATCTTTAGTAGCGACCTTGGTGGGAAACTCATGTAGTTTCAGTCTTCAACAAGGGTCAGGCCAGGATTCAGGACCCAGTAAGCAGGTGAAGGCGAAGGGGTGAGGGCTCCCAGATGCCAGAGCTCACACACTTGAGAACTGTTCATTGAGCCGCTGCATACCAGGTGCTGTCCTGGACAGTCATCGGCTCTGTCCTCTAAGGGAGGCAACACATGACACACAATCATTGCAGGTTGGAGTAAATGCAATGAAAGACACAAAGGAGATGCAGGTAGAGCATATGCAGGGGGAGAGTCTGCTTCTGAAAGGTTTGAAGGCTTCTCTGGCTGAGCTGTATGGTCCTGGAGGGGGAACAGCACATGCAGGGCCCTGAGGTGGGAGGGGCAGTGCCTGTGGTAGCCATGGAAAGAGCCTTCCTGAGCAAATGGCAGGAGGCCCCTGGGCCCAGATTGTGTAGGGCATTTGGCCTTGGGCCTTGGGCCTCGGGCCAGCATTTGGATTTTGTCCTCTGTGAGAGGAAGCCTTACAGGGGGTTAGGTGGGTATGATATCACTTGATCTCTGTTTTGGGATTACTTTTGTTGCTTTGCAGAGAATGGGCCCCATGGGGACTGAGAAGGGACGCGGGAGATGGGGTACACGGCTGTCCATCCTGATGCCCACGTATCAGGTGTGAGGCCCTGGGTGGGGCTGGGGGTGGAGAGCAGTGGGCTTGGGGCAATGAGTGAGGTAGTGTTGACGGTGGGAAGGCCCATCCTGACCGGGAGATGGTACGCCTCTGTCATTACAACTGAAATCTCGATCTGCTTCTTTTTGCTGCTACCAAGGCAGTTCTAACACCTTCCGGGAACATCGTTAACGACTTCTTCTCTTCCTAATGGAGTGTGGCTTAGAGAGCACTTTCCAGCATTCTAGGAGTCAGAATATACAATACTCAATAAAGGAACCAAACGGGGGGCCTTGTGGATGGTGGTGTGTCTCTAAGAAAGCTCCTTATTACTTGGGTTTATGGGGCTTATTCCTGTGCCTCTTGCTGTAAGGCTGGATGATGATGATGATTATTATTATTTTTTAAAGATTTTATTTATTTATTCATGAGAATACACAGAGAGGAGAGAGAGAGAGGCAGAGACACAGGCAGAGGGAGAAGCAGGCTCCATGCAGGGAGCCTGACGTGGGACTCGATCCCGGGTCTCCAGGATCACACCCTGAGCTGCAGGCAGCGCTAAACCGCTGAGCCACCGGGGCTGCCCCATTATTATTTTTTACTACAAGACCGTTCTGGGTCCTTCGGGAGGACTTGGGCACCGCAGTGACAGCTGGTTTCACTACATCCGTAGTCTTACTTAATTTCTGATCTACTCATTTGCAAAACAGCCTCAGAATTCAGGTTCAATGCATTGCCTCAGCTCCTCAGCCTAGTTACTGTTGCGCAGGCACATCGTGGCCTGGCCTGAAAGCCGATCCCGCTGCAGTCCAGGCCAGTAATTGATCTATTAAGGAAAAACGGCAGCTTTGCCGTGGGCAGTGATGAAGCAGTGCTGTTAGGTGCCCCGCCTATTGACATCTCAACTCTCTCGCAGAGCAACACACCCCAAGCATCCTCTCCTTTGCCGAAACGTATTCCCCACAGGCAGAGTACTGCTGGAGACTACTTGAAAGAACATCACATCTGGGAATGTGCTACTGAAATTTCCAGCCTGCTGTACAACAACCCCCGAGACCAGGTGACCATGAAATACACCAAAGGTGTTCTCATGTAAACATGTGTGTTTTTTTCTTGAACAATCATTCTTTCCTGTGCTAGTTTTCCCCATCAAGGTCAATGTTCTCAACCCACACTTGTGAGTCCATTTCCTGCCTGACAGGGTGAAGAATGTGGAACATTAGCATTTCTGCCCTCAACTTCGGGGATTCTCCAGCGGCCTGACTCTGCCCCTCAGGGGCTCTCTGGCAAGGTCTGGGGACACTTCAGGTTGTCAGGACTGTTGCTGACGTTGGGTGGGTGGAGGCCAGGTGGTATGAGCTGGTACAGGACACAGGATGGCCCCCATCGTGCCACCTGCCTGACGCCAGCTGGGGTTCAGATTAGTGCCTAGCCTCTAGTAAAGGAGGCCTTTTTTTTTTTTTTAAGATTTACTTATTTATGATAGACAGAGAGAGAGAGAGAGAGGCAGAGACACAGGAGGAGGGAGAAGCAGGCTCCATGAAGGGAGCCCGATGTGGGACTCAAACCCAGGACTCCAGGATCACGCCCTGGGCCAAAGGCAGGCACTAAACCGCTGAGCCACCCAGGGATCCCTACAGGAGGCCTTCTTACGTGTTGCTCTGAAGGTCTTGAGTCTCTACCACCGTAAACTGCCCTGCTATTCTTCCATATCTTCCTGTATAAAACAAAGGATGTTTCTAAGAATTACTTTTGGGACGAATACCTACCATTTACATCAACATGGATGCAACTGGAGGAGGGTATTATGCTGAGTAAAATACATCAGTTGGAGAAGGACTGTTGTCATGTGGTGCCACTCATACGTGGAATATAAGTAGTGAGAGGGACGCTGAGGGAAGGAGGGAAACTGAGTGGGGAATATTAGAGAGGGAGACGAACCATGAGAGACTCCTGACTGGGAAACAAAGGATAGGGGCCTGGGGGACTAGGTGATAGGCACTGAAGAGGGAATGTGATGGGATGAGTACGGGGTGTGATACTATATGCTGGCAAATTGAATTTAAATTAAAAAGAAAAAGGAATTACTTTTGATGGCACACAGAAATAGCCAACATTATTGTGCTCATGTATCATTAAATACACACAAGCATTTTATTTTCAGGTGTGCAGCTGGGAATACTTCTCTTGCAAAAATGAGATTTCAAAGATGCTTAAATATCAGGAGAAGTTTGGTAAGAAAAACATCCTAGTTGGAGAAATTATGGAATTTTTAGCAGATTTACTGTTTTTTCTACCAGGAGATAGTGAAAGGCAAGTTTTTAAAAAAGATTTTAAAAAGTTATTTGAGAGAGAGAGTGAGAAAGCGAGCAAGAGAGAGAGAGAACGAGCATGAGTGTGCTGGGGAGGGGGCTAGGGGACAGAGAGAATCTTAAGCAGACACTGAGCTGAGCATGGAGCCTGACATGGGGCTTGATCTCACAACCCAGGATTGTGACCTGAGCCAAACCAAGAGTCCAATGCTCAACTGACTGAGCCCCCAGGTGCCCCAGGGCAAGTCTAATAAAATGTCTCAAGTAGCGTGTCTTTCTCCCAGCAAAACACCATGGCGGGGAGGTCTGGGGTTGAACTGTTGGGGGTGTCTCACTGCTTGTGCCCTTCCCCCTGTAGTTGTGAGGATTTGCTCAGCTCCCCCCTCCACCCCAGGCATTGTTGGAGCTGCTCAAGAAAAAATCATCTGTAATGATGTAGGCAGGTGGGGGCCAGGGACCCAGGGGGGCCTGTGGGACCAGCTGAGAGGGTCCTTGGCTTCAGGCAGGATGGAAGGCAAACATGAGCCAGCAGGAGGTGAAGGTGGGGTTTATTGCCCATGTGTACGGACAGGGTGGGGGGTACAGACAGAGTGTCCAGGAGACACAGGGAGGAAAGAACACGAGTCTCATTTTCGCTTGGGATCCGGGGGTCTTACTGAGGGCAGTGGTCTGGTGTACTTGACCCCTGAGGCATCCAGGACCTGGTTAGACCAAGGCGAGGCCCCAGGTGCTGCTCCTCGGGGCCCGGGGGCCTTGGCATCGAGACATCTGGCACAGGCAGTCTGGAGTCCGCGCGTCATGGCTTTATCCTGGTCATTTCTCACCTGCTCCTTTCTTAGGTGTTCTCTGCTCTAGAGAAGTCTTTACTTCCTTGACCTCACAAGGAGGACATAAGATCTTTGCGTGTAGAGCCTACAAGGCCTATGTAGAGTGGGGGGGGGGGGCATGGGTCCTAGAAGCACTAAGCAGGAGAAGATGCGGAATAAAAAACGTTTTATCTCCTGGAGTCCTCCTTCGCTTT